AATTAACTCTAATGGGTGAAATTAATTAATTAGTTAATCGATAAAATATTGGCATGATATATACCGTAATATACAAATCGCACATTACACAACAAAGTTTTCTATCAGCAACAATAATATTATTTTGTTGTGTGTCGCGTATAGCTTCATATATTTTCACGACTTGTATATCAAAGTAACAGAAAGTAAACACGTCCATTCGCTTCCGCGTAAACGTGAGTATGAGTATTAATATCGCTCATACACGATGGATTATTAAATCGCGAAATTAATACGCAAATTAACCTACAAGCTAAATTGCGAACAAACTTCACGGTCTCGACCACAGAAATCGCGGGCATTTGAAGCATTATAATCTAATCGGCCGGAATGTTTGAAAGAGTTACATAATCCCGGATATTGCTTCTATTCGTATTTATCGAAGCCAGATTGTGCGTGACGTTAGTTCGCAATATAGCATTATTAATCCGCTCGGACGGATCTATCCGCAATTTATGAGTGGCGCGAATTTAAATTTTTCAACACACACGTGTGCCAAAATTACGCATACCGCTCGAAACGATCGTGAGATCACTCTCTCGAATGTCTGCCAGTTGGAATATCGAACATTTTTCTAATATCTTTTGTGTATCATGATCGAGGGCGATCTCAAGAAAAGGTTTGATCTCCGGAAAAGCCTGAATACGAAATTATTCTGGAAAATAATACGGTATGGACATTATCACACTTTTAATTTCGCACTCGTATTACATCTCATTCATATCGTGCTCATTATAATAAATAATGATCTGCATTTAATGGACATGCGACAATGTATGACCAAGCGTTTTTATGAAAAGTTCATTTGGGCGAAGTTACATTTTTCCCTTGTTTCATATTATATTGATTCGAATCATATGTAAATTGTAGTGGTTTGCACTCGTTTAAGTAATTGAACGTTAAACTCTCTCTATTCTATTTTTTCCCCCAGCGATATATCTTCCACTAATTAATATTACTGCATGTTGATAATAATAATGCGCGAGAAAATAATGCATTTTCAAGCGCCATGTGCTTCTTCGTTCGCCCCGCTAATAACAGGCGTAAACGAGGCCAAAATTGCGGCCATGGTGGTCTCGAGGGTACACCGGTAACTTTACGGAAAAGGGGCAAACAAAGCGACGGCCGACGGAAGCGGAGGCTCATAATTAGATTGTTGGCTAATGGGGAACACAGCATACAAATAAGTGCGCGACACTACGTACGAAAGTAAGGCACTAACCACTGCCTTCTCCGGGGAGACACCGTTTAAGCTCAATTGTTATTACACGTGCACGTCGAAAGGCGTGGTGCGGAAGTATTTCGGGCAAACGACTCGATCAAGTGTTATCGCCGGCCGACGTTTCAGGGTCGCATTTAATATCCGCGTTATATACGAGAATTAAATCGCGCGAGAGGTCAAGTTGGATAAGTCCAAGTCCTATATCGTCAAATGACTAATTCATTATTATTATAGTGAAGAGAGAAACGAGATGGTTTGATATTTCATCAAAATGTGATTAAAAGGTATGAATAAAGTAGACGCTTATAAAGTACTCGTAGAGATTTAACTTTTTATAACGTTTGAAGAAGCATATGTATGTTTATACCAGTGTGTTACTGGCCTTTCGCGCATTCGCAATATGTTTTTAAATTAAAATGTAAACTCGCAATCTCTACCTACCCCTCTCTCTCTCTCTCTCTCTCTCTAAATTCGTAGAGATATAAACTCTATTTTTGTCAAGCGGAATGCTTTGCACATCGGCGATATAGTCGACTTTATTACATTTTTTCAACCGTTCTAATATTTACGCCACGTCACAGTCGATTTGGGTTATAACGTCCGCATGCAAACGGTTGGAAATTTACCTTGAGGAGAGAGCGTGAAACGTACGCAAAGCAATTCATATCTTAAAAGAGTCTGTCAATAGTCACATGAGTTGCGAATAAAAAGGTTACAAAGTTATTTTAATCGTAATCCCTGTCAGATTTTAATTCGCGATACAAAGCGCTCCTCGAAGCGGAGGTTTCAAGAGCCGCCGGGTATATTAAGATTCATTATATCGAGAGCAAAGCGTACCTTTAAAAGTACCCGACTGTCTTGAAAATATAATGCGTTGGTTGTAATTAATATAAAAGAAAAATAAAAAGAATGCGTGTGTGTGTGTGTGTGTGTGTGAGTCAGGAAGAATTTTCATTTGCTCCCGTCTCCCCACGTATCGCAAATTCGCTCGACAAAACAATCCGAAAAACAATTAAACAGTGGAAATTGAAAGTTAAATTGATGCCGATCCGGCAGGTTCACGGTTCTATCCCCGATACTTCTATTTCTACTGCGAATTTACCGATACGTATAGGCACGATCCATCGAACTTGATTCGCGCCTAAGAGGCATAAGTCCGATTTATTCAAAGCATCGCAAAGAGGAAATAGGAGAAAATGAGCTTGTAAGCTGGAAAGTAATTGCATGCGGCAACATGAAACAAAAAGAGTATCGATAGTCCGAGTAAAAAAAGAGTAATCTATTTCTTTTGCGAAATATTATAAGGGAAGAAACGGCCGTATATTTTAGAAATTTGATAACGTAATAACAATCGATACATAAATGTAATAACGAAAAGAGATAATTTATTGTGTTGTAGTGCAATGATATGACGTCACATAATGTAATATCGCTTTTCTTTTGTACAAACAAATAATATCTCCTCGTACGAATTATCTCAACGCTTGAAGGAAGATTTAATATTACAAAATGCAATTTTTCACGATAAGCGTAATTTAATTTCTGTTATCCCTCTAAATTAGCTCTTAATATAGCAAACAAATTTGTACAGTGGCGTAACTAGATAAATGAGCAACCAATGCATTCAGAATTTAAATGCAACTCGACTGCCCACGCAAGCTTATCACCTACGTCATATCATCGTCGACATGCATCGATGTCGATAAATTACATCGTCAACTCTGTACTTCCAGTAGAAGTATTCCGTACCCCGTTAACCATATTTGTCGGTATCTCAAATTACTGAAAAATATTGCGCTCGTAATAACTACGGCATCAACATTGATGCAATTTCACATACTCGTACCTTTCCACGTGGATATGAAAACTGCAACGGCGCGAGATGAAAATAAAACAAGAAGTGAACATTCATCCGTGAAAAATATTAATTGTTGGTATAATAATAAAAAATACGAGTTGTTAGGTACGCATCATATTTCACAAAGCGTGCTCAGTTCGTTAGATATACGCATTTCATAACTCAAATATAAAACTAAATCAAAAACATCTTTTTTGATGTTATAATCTTCACTCTCATTAGCGTATTTCAAGTAATGGAAAATTATAGTATTTCATCAATTTGTTGTAATAATATAAGGCTATAATAATGCGTCAGATATAAAAAAAAGTTATAGTATAATATTTCGTCAATTTATCAATATAAATATTCCTCGTTTATTCTTCTAATAGATAAAATATATCGTAAATATAAATCGTATTCAGACGATATGGAACGCTACTGCATACGTTGAAAGATCAAGGCTTTAACCCTCTGCGAACAACGTGTCATTTAGCATATTCCGTTTGCAACATGGGCCATTGAGGGCCAATGCAGGTTTTCACATTTTTCCGGACTGTATAAAAATTTGACAAAAATTCTCATATACTTTTAATAGCTTTAATAACAAGCTTCTACAGTCGTAAAAGTCGGATTGTATTTCACTTATTTTTTATAAATTGGAACAAAATCAGAAACGCCGAAAAAAATGAGATTTTTGTTAAAAATTCACATTTTTACATAAGTGAAGAAAATAAATTCCTTTAGGCTATAATATTTGAATATAAGTACTTCGGGAAGAAATAGCATAATGATGTTGCTGCAAAAAAATTGAATTATTTGAACACTTGAAAATATTTTTAGAAGAAACAAAATATAAAATCTCATTCGAAAAAAGAATTGATAAAATCATTATTACAGCAAATTAATCATTAAATTCTCAATATATTTAAAAATTAGTGTATACACGCAAAGATAGAAAAAATAAAAAAATTTATATAGCACAGTTTATACAATAATACCTGCAGTGCACCTCGCACATTGGCATAGCATACAATGCACAGTGGTATATTTTTATAGTTTTTTTCCAAGAAAGTATGTAAAACATAAAAAATCTATTTACAAAGAAAAATCTTTATACATGTATTTATACATTAATCAGTAAAAAAAATTTATGTAAAACATCGACAAATCTATTTGGGAAACACTTTAAAAATGTTTTAAAGGCAAAATCTGTATATATTATTATATTCATTGAAAATAGCATTAAAAGCATATAAAACGCGAAAAAACCCAAGTTATTAGTTCTCAAAAATATTTACGTGGTCTGCAACTTGTGTCGCAGGGGGATAAACGCCTATTCTAACAGTTCTTATTAGTAAATTATCAGAAAATGAACAGCTGGATATTGGCGTACTTACACATACATAATCTCACTACTCTTAAGTTTTTTTTTATGGGGATACCGAACCACCCTACTACCTATCAGTTATTCTAAAAAATCACAATTAAAGAATCGACCGGGCCTTTAAAGACAGACGTTGTCAGTGGAGCAATTAACCAACCTTGCACAAATACGTCTCACAGAAAACATAAGCGATCGCATTGGCGCACTACGAGCGCCGTTTCATTCCTTTTCTCTTATCGTGACGTGCACATAAAATTGTCCTAAATCTCTGTCACTCATTAGGTGACCGAAACGATTACGTGTTCGCGGGAAATCACTTTGATTGCGGGCTCCAGTGAGTCCGTCCGAGTGAGGTGCCGAGAAGGAAAGACAATTGACACACACACACACACACACATACACATATATCGCCCACGTACGTGTCCGCGTCAATGTTGAGCCGCACGTCGGCCACAATTAAGTAATTACGCTACTGTTTCGGCATAAGCGAAATTGAAAGCGGATAATAAACTTACCTGCTGCATCGGGTACGTGGTGCTACCGACGAGTAGATCCCATGCCCACGCGAAGATCCGCGCGCAAATGTGCATTGACGTCACCGCCGCTCGGTGCAGCTCGCCGCCGTTACCGGCCAGATCCTTCGCACCTTCGTTCACGTCCTCTGCGGCGATCGCCTTCTTCGTCGTCGTCACCGGCGAGTCAAAGCCGAGTCACACGTCACATCCTCGTCGCACTCGTCGCACCCGAACTGTTACACTTGTCGCACACTCTGCGTGTTTCTCGATTTCGCGCGAGATCGCGCCGATATCTCTCAATTACGGCAACCGACGTTACAAAATGCAACTTCGCGCGGAAATGCCAACGGGCCTTTCAGAATTACGGAATTGGCGAATTTGACTCTGGGACGAGGATCTACCCCAACAATACTCATCCCGAGCTCCATCGGACACGTCTCTGGGCGATCTTGCCGTCGTCATACGGCCGAACACGATGCCGGTTGGCAGCTTTTCCCAGAATGCACCATGGTTTCGCGGTAATTCGGTGCTCGCCGAATGAGACGAGAAGACGCGAATGTCTCAGATCGCGATGATCGTTACCTGGAACTTCACCGACTAGAGAGACGATAGTTGGAAGTCGATTATGTGGAAAATCGTCGTGTAATTGTTAAAATGTGCACAATAAAAAATTTTACGTTAAAAATGGCCCACTGAAATTTTGTGTTACTTTAACCCTCTAACCAACTCTAAGTCAGACCCAGTAAATTGTGTTTGAAGAGTTGTAGCGTAAAGAAGTGCGTGATTTATGGATTTGTACACTCTTGAAAAATCGTTAGAAAGTCGCTCTGTGTGTCTGTGTGTTAGACATAGTATGAGGTTGACGCCATAATTGATTTCTTGCTAAAAATTTGTGTATGAACGTAAGTAAACATTGTGATTACGTTTATTTTTTTCGGAAAATAATAAATAAAAATATTATTATTGAGGTCACATAGCGTATAATCAATGTAAGCGCGATTCGATACATTATTTCTTTAAACAATGTGTGTTACTATTTTGTAAGTAAGAAACAAACTATGTATGACATTTTTACAACAAAAATATTTTTTCCTTCATAAAAACATTCATTATCATTTTTTTTCACTTTTAGAAATACTTATTTTTAATGTTAAAAATATCCTCTTTTCAAAGGAAGGAAGGGCCAAGAAAATGTTTACCGAACGCGCACTATAGTCATATTTTTTTCTATTAGAACTATCTTTGAATATTTTGTGTTGTATCAATATTCAACATGTATAAGTGTTGAAATAATGCATTTTATATTTTATTGTGTCAATTAAGGTATTAATTTTGTGTTAATTTTTGATATAATATTTATGTTACTTTTCAATATATTCATCTTGTGTTAAATTAGCATGAAAATTTATGTTGATCGTTTGGGATATATAAAATATGTTAAATAATTTAATAATATATTGAACAAAATAACTATCAAACAAAATGTTTTATTGTGCAAGTATTTTCACGTTACAGCCAATCGCATGTATTTATTCACATGAGATAAAAGTACGAGAAGAAAAGTTGGGGAAGATATACAATCGGCTCTCTGATCGCGAAGCAAGCTCGAAATATACGACGATATAAACACACGCAATAAAAAAATTTATGTTTAACACATTTCACATGTCCTAAATGATCCACTAAAATTTTTATATTAATTTAACATAAGGTAAATATGTTAAAAAGTAACAGAAATATTATGTCAGAAATTAACATAAAATTAGTATGTTCTGTACTAAAATGTGTTATTTTACACATACACATATAGAATGTCGATACAACACGAAATGTTAAAATAACATAAACACAATATGTTAAATTAACATATTGGTGTGTTAAAACTTTAACACAAAAATTTTAACAAGGACCGGTTTTAACACAAGTATAAAATGTTTTTTACTGTAGTGCGTAGGAAACTGTAGCTCCGAAACGAAGCTACGTTTACACAACGACACTAATCCACTTTGATAACAACTATAATTTTAAGTCTTAATGTAAAATATAATTTACTTTAATAATAAAATTAATATCTTAATAGTAAAATATAACCGGTATTATAACATCAGTTGTTGTTGGTCTACACCTGTTTTCAATAGGATATAGGCTTATAAATCCGGATCGAAAAATTTTTAAACGGTCATATTTCTTGTTTTTACTTGTCTTGTAATGTATGCTTACGCAATTACACGATTTGATATATTTTATACAGATGAATTTATGATGGGAATTAGCTCAATCCGCTTCATGTAAACAGACACGAATTCAAAAAAGTTCTAACAGCCGTTGTTATTGAACAGGAATTATATCGCTGCCGTCTAAACGTAGTCAAAGATGTCCGACTAATGTCCGTTTCTATCATCGTGATATAAATGTAATCAACAATTAATTTAACGGGGATTGACCAATCGCATTGATCAGTTCGGCCAATTGGCCAGTTGTGATTGGTCAATTTCGGTGAGTCAATCATAGATTATACTTAAACTGTGATGACAAAAACAGACATTATCTTGTTGCGTAATCCGGTCGCGAGTGTGTGCAACATTAATACCGACTATAACGATAGAGTCCCTGGCCATATTATTAGATGCACTTCGATTCTTTAATAGAATACAGGTTAGATGAAGAAAAGTTACTAATTTTATTTTTACTCAATTAAGATAATTTATGGTGTCAATCAGCGCTTTTATCTCAACAATCTTCTGAGGTGTCAAATCACTTGTTTCACCCATAATTTTTAATAAACAAACAATATTAATCATATTTTTCACATTAAAATTTATTTTTCCGTTAGTAAGTAAAGAATTTGAAGTTTCACTAAATTTCAATTGGCACACACACACTCAAAACTCACGTCTGTGACATTATCAACGATGCAAGCGGGTTCATACTTGTTCAAGGTCGTTGAGAACGCTAGGTGAAATGTCATAAGCGGGTTCATACTTGTTCAAGGTCGTTGAAAACGCTAGGTGAAATGTCATAAAAAATACCTTTTATAGGAAAATAGTTCCTTAAATATCGATCGATGAGCCGTGTTATAAAGCTGCTCCTCGGAAGTTAACGAAATATAAAAAATTAAGGTGCGTCTAATAATATGGCCATGGATCGTAGTTTGATTATCTTCAATCGTGCTGATTTAGCGAGCTGTTTTGGCCAGTGCAACATTCGATCTCGCTTCGAGACACGACAAGAGAGACGCGCAGGAAAAGCCGAAGTCCTCGTCAACTTATCACACCATTCGGAAGCAACGAACGATGGCAAATCGTCGCCGACACCCACATCGTTATCGCGGAATATCGTTATCCACGGAACGTCGTTATGTGCCGATCGCGTCGAAACGCTCGCCACGAAGTATTTATCGGCACTCCGCGACGCGAAAACAACATCGTATCCCGTCCGTAAACGCGACGACGCGACCGAATACTTGTTGAATGGCGTGTCCAACCTGCTGCGACCGGCCGGCATCGCCGTGAAGTTGGCGACGATTGACTTATTCAGCGGACGCTGCGAATTCAAACTCACAGTTTGAAATTTGATCCGAACGCGCAGACGCGTCATCCGGAATGCTTCTTATGATAATGGTGACGCCACATAGGTCCGAGTGTATTCGTGGAAATGCACGATTCCAGGCTGCAAGATATTAAATTCACACCGAAGATATCTCGCGTGAGCGAGCAGCACGATTAAGTCGGTAAAAATAAGTCGTAAAGATCGAGATTTCTAGAATTATAGAGTACCGATTACCGGGTCCGAAATGTTGAAACGGTGAAAAACATTTTGCGTCGAAATCGGTCCTCGTTAAAACTTCTGTGTGAAAACGCCCCGATGTTAACATATTGTATTTATGTTATCTCAATATTTCGCGTCGAATCGACATTTAACATGTGCAAGTGTTGTTGAAATAACATATACCTCAGTGTCGACTTACATGTTATGGACATTAATTTTGTATTAATTTTCGACATAATATTTACGTCATTTCTCAACGTGTTCACCCTGTGCGGAATTAACGCAAAAATTCGTGTGGACCGTTTGGGACGGTTGAGATGTGTTGAATCGGACAGAAAATTTTGTATGCCGTGTAGCGACCCGTAAACATAAGGCAACGTAAGATCACGCGAGTCACGAGAGTCCTGTGTGAGAACGAAATGTGCAAAAATCACTCGTGGAGTCGCGTCTTTGGTGAATTCCGGTAACAATAACGTGATGATGCCGATTGCGGTCGAAGGAGCAACGGATCGCGCGTCACTTCGACGCGAACGCGATTGTGAGAAAATGTCTTACGCGCGACGATCGTTTCCGATAAAACGATCAAGCTTCCATCGAAACTCGCGTATTTTCGAGAATTCTTCAGATTTAGCGTACCTCGCCGTGCAACTTCGAGACTTTCCGGCGACACTGATTCATGCTGGTCGCAGCTACAATTGTTCGTCGATTCAATTACCGGACGACGACGTTAATCCGCGTGAACGGGCAACAGGTGTAACGCGACGCGCACCGATGGAAGACCGAACGATAACTGAAGAGCGGCATTGCGCGCGTGCCACCTACTAGACGCGCCGGAGACACAATGAGAAACGCGGTGACATTGGGGACGTATCAAAACACGCTACGTCGCGTACCGAAAAACCCATGATCCTTTGCTTTTCCTCGCGATGGAACGCGCTTTATGCGCATGTAGAGCCCGATCATCGTTCTTCTCCGTTGTATGCCGAGGAAAATTCGACCACGCAACGCAAAAAAATTGACACGATCGAGTCTTGAAAAGAGACGAAATAGTATTGTTGATTCTTCGACTTTCATATCGATTTTCCCAAAACTTGCGACGTGATAAGAAATTAATTTTATTATTTTTCATGTGAGGTCACACTTTCCCGGCCTGTGTTGTTTCAAGATGTTAAACAAATGTATAAAAAGATTCCCTGAGCCAAAAGATGTGAAAAAAATGTATAAAAAGATTCCTCAAGGAAAAAAAGTTCATATAAACATGCATTAGGAAATATTCCATATCCGAAATAGGGTACTTGAAAGTTACGGTCGAAAAAATACTTTTCATGAATAAAATGATAAAATAGTGCATTAAATTATCCTCTTATCCTTTTTTTTTCCACTTTTTCCCATTTTGTCCATAATTCTTTTATCCTTGCAAATTTGTTCATTTTGCTCTCACTGTCGTAATTTTTAGGTTTTTTTACGAGAAAAATGTTCGTGTTTGAAGTTGCTAAAAACAACCGCATTTTCGAACATTTTGACACATCTTTTGCAGCACGTAAATATAAAAATCAATACTTGGAAGTAAATTTTTCATACACGTTTTCTAAATTTGATCCTACTAGCCATAATTCTAATGTTCAGATAATATCATCAGTACGATATTAATTTTAGAAACACTGTTCTTTCAATAATACGTAAAACATATCGAACAGAGTCCGAAATAAATGCAAATATTGTCTTTTAAAATCTTTAAAATATGATTTTCTTTTCTTATATTACTGGTGTGCTTGGTACATATAACATTTAAAAAATTGTAAAGCATTTTTTTATTTGCAGTTTGTTTGTTTTTTTGACTCATTGCAACTTATCAATGCTTCGATAATAGAAATGATCGACTTCCTCTGTGAATAAAATACAAGAAAGTACCATTTTAATAATGTATAATAAATAAATGCGAGAAATATTAAATATTAAATATATATGAACAAGATCAATAATAATAAATTTTTTCTTTTCAACATAATCTGACCAAGCTAACTATAACAATTGAAAACGTAGAAATAGAAGTCGCAGGAATAAGTCGCGAATAATAATAATGTTCCCATATGTTTGCAGGACGCACGAGTTGAATATAATTAATTAAATTGCTAAAATCTTTAACAATCTTTAGAGATATATATACATATAATATAAACATCTATACTAATCAAGCATAATGAGCATTATTTTAACAGAGATTTATATTAATTTAATGTAAACGATTTATTGTGTAGGCAAATAAATCTTTGAGTCCTGTTTTTAATACACTTCACATGTATAATATTTGCGCTACAATCTATTAAATGTTGATTGACTTATTTTTATTAATAATAAATGTAAAGATGTCATTGCTTGTGATAACAAAGAATAATCATCGCGATTAATAAATAGAAAATATGTATGTGTGTATGTGTATGTTATTGTATGCACATCCTGCAAGCAGAGAGAAGCCTGAGAAATCTTTCGTCAATCTTTCTCATCAATTCGCAGTAACATCAGATACGCCGTCTGCATACACCGGGTAGAGGTGAAACTTCCACGTCCACAATCCGGAACTGTCGGTAAAATTGCCATTTTGTTATGTGTCTGCGTAAAGAACACGTATTTGTACATACATATCCACACGATGACGTAATTACATGTTTTATTACTAAGAGAATGAGACACGCAGTTTGTAACGTAATTATAATAAATACACTCACAGGAGGAGATTAAGATTACTGTTCTTTATTTCTTTGATCCATTGCTGAATACAGGGCATGATAAAGAATTTTATAAACAGGTTACATTCTAAATTACATCTTATTAAGCAATGGAATATTATATTTAGGCACATCTACATTAACATATTATTAAATAAACACGCAACAATAGCTATCAGAATTTCTTGTTACCATCGTCCCCCGAGATCGATTGTAGTAACGACAATACACAACATACTGCGAAATGACAGGCGTGTGTTTGTGTGAAGGATACGTAAATTTCGATTCGGGGATACTTACATAAGTTAGTTAAATCTTAAGCATTTCCTTAATGTCGACAACTCTGGTCCGTATCTCTGGTTGATTATCCTTCACTAACTCGGGCAGAAGCTCTTTCAAAATGCGTGTCATCTTGTCGAGCTGTTCATTGTTATTTGTATCGCGCATTTTTCTCGCCAGCGAAAGGACTATATTCAATGCTTCTTTTCTAATTCTGGTGAACTTTGAAATGTCTAAAAAAAAAAAAAAGAAAAAAAAAGGGCGATCATACTTAAGAACAATATATCTCAATTATATAAACATGAAATTATCTCGAGATTATTTTAAGCAATGAGTCGATCAAATTGATATTTTAATTAAATATGATTGGTGCATATCTCTATACACGTTGCATTACTTACTTATACAATACAATAATATTTTATTGAGGCTATCACATATCTCGTCTAATACTTTTTTATCCTGCGACGAAAGCTCCTCCTTGCTCACTTTTAATAAGACGAGTCTATCCACAAAGAGATTTAACGTCGTCAGGATCGCGATTTGCACAGATCTCGTGCTATTTGGCAACACCTTCTGACAGTGAGTCACAAATTCTAAGCAATATTTGTCTGCAATCGAAAGGACCACGTATATTAGGAGGGAAGGAATATATCCTGAACTTAATACAATTGTATCTCACAAACGCTTAGCTCGGTAACCTTGAGTCGTCTTGCTGGAGGGCCATGCTTTTCCGAGCACCTCGTAAACCGTTTCCTGCAACTTTATATTATTCTCCTTTTTCTTCCTGCTTTCCTCCGCGGTATCTTCTTCCCCGTCGTTACTTTTATCGGATACCTGTGCGCGCAAAGCAGATATTATTACGTTACATATTTACGTTTGCAAATGCCTTCTTACTAATACAATTGCCGATATAGCTCACTTTAATCAGGATATCTTGTACAATTTCATAAGTTTCCGTAAACTTATCAACGTCAAGCTCGTGCAGGACCATAGCGAACGCTTGCAACGCGTTGCGACGATATTCCGCATTTTCCTTCTTGCTCTCTCTGTGCAGCGTCGCCACGACTGCGTCCAACAGCGCGGTGTCTGCGTTTAGTGCTTCCCTGCGATGAAATTAGTGCCCCATAATGTCATGTGTCATCGTGAATTAACGTATTGCGTGTATAAGCAGTGTGAAACTCTAATACGTTCGTCACACGTACTTGCTATTGCACGCTAACATAGCGAGCGCGTCCAGCAGACGTTCCTTCCCGCTCCAAGTTCTGCCACGCAGACCATCGGTCAGTATCTTCAATAAAGTATTCCTGGCCTCCATGTCGATATCATGTCCCGACTTTAAGGCAACGGTATAAACCGCATTCGCGGCTTGTACTTTCGTCGTCCACGACGCCGACTCCAAAGCTGTGCGCAAAATGTCGGTTATCGATCGCAAGTTTTGCAGAATTCCTGCCTCGGTCCCGGGCGTTATTTCGTTCCATAGATCAGTCCACAGTTCGATGGTGCTTTCATTCCCTGGGCAGATAAAATACGAATAAAAGTACACGAAAACGAGAACGAGAAACATCGACGAACAACAGACTGCGATACCGGAATACAAACCTGATACCTTTTCTGCATGCATCGCGAAAAACGTCAAAGGAATGACTATTTTTTGGTAATTCTTCAATTTCTCCTGATTGTAATTGTTTATAGATTGCAGAGTCTGCCCGATCGCCAGTCTTATTGCGTCATCTGCAATTTAATTTTTCTCCGATGTAGCGTTCCATCAAGCGAAAATCATACGCCATCAAGAAGAAATATATAGAATATATTATATATAGAATATATAGAATATATATTAAAAAAATATATATAGAATATATAGAATAGAATAGAATAAAATATATATATAGAATAATATATATATATATAGAATATATTATATAGAAATATATAAAGCGCATATATGAACCGCCGAAGACAAGCGTACCTTCGCGTTCCAAATACCACGTGTTCAAGGTATTAAATAACTTATCTAGACTAGAATCTTTAGCCGAGCCAACCACGTGTCCGATGCTAATTGCATTGTTTTTCCGCACGGCAGCATTACGATCTGTCAAGCCGTTGAGCAAGGCGGACAGAACTTTAGCTGAACAGAATAATACGAATTATTAGTTCGCCAAAAATAACATGTCATCGTATGTCGCACTCTTGAAAATTACTAACCGCTGTACGGCTGTAACTCTACTTTCAAATGCGTGCTGAGAAGAATCACGAAATGCGAGCAAGCGATCTTCGTTCCAAATCCTATGCTGCACTTGATTAATTCTATCACTTTTGGCATCAAGTCCTTCAATACATCCGCGTCGACATATTGGATACACTGCAAAGAGAAGAAAGAAAAGAATATTTATGTAAATCTACAATAAGTACTTTTAAGCTCTAAGCCAATCACAGTCGAATTATAGAAGAAAAATCAATTATGATTGATCAACTTTTTAAATCTTACGCCTTAAATTCTCATTGTAGACCCCGCTTAAGTCCTAGTCAACAATAGATGCTTTAAGCCTTAAGTCTTAAGAAACTGACCAATCACAATCGAATTATAGAAGAATAAGATATAGATGAATTGTGATTGATTAATTTCTTAAGCCTTAGAGCTTAAAATCTCACTGTAGATCCCGCTTAAGTCCCGGTCTACAATAGATGCTTTAAGCTCTAAGAAATTGACCAATCACAGTCGAATGTGAGGAGAATAATCGACTGTGATTGGTCAACTTCTTAAGGCTTAGAGCTTAAAGTAGTTATTGTAGACCAGGACTAATGCGCGATATTCAAGTTAACCGGCAAGTTATATTCAACCACAGAGCGAAATTACCTTCGTTATCGTATCCGACGCGTAATGGCCTTTAGCGACGTTAGCTCTAACGTTATCGATAGCCTCCTGCGTCTCCGTGGATGCGCCGCACACGTTACTCAAGTAGGAGAGTTTCGGATTCTCCGACTCGCCGATCGTTTCCAACAGCGAAGGTATTAAATTGACGAGCGACGGCTTCAGCAGAACACCGGCCGTCAATACGAGTTGAGACACCGTTTGCAGCGATATAGATCTCACCGTGTCCACGGTGTGAATGATACCGATGTCGAGTAACACCGGCAATATCGCTTGAATAACCTCCTTCCCCGCATTACCGTGCGAAGAATCGCAATATCGTATGCAAACCTGCAATATTATCAACAAGTGAGATGTCATTAGTGTCGTCCGCAACACGTATGGGAGACGGGCTAATTGATTATTTCTGTTGTTTTCTAACGGGTTACAGAATCAAGATAGAGGTTTTATATTTTATATTAACGTTTGGAAGCGACGTATTAGTAGTAACAACGTAATAAATGACTTTCGGACAAATATTAATTTAATGATCCGTGCTTAGGCTCTTAATGGCCCTTTCACTCTAAATCGATTCATCAGAGAGCCTTTTTTAACATTTATTGATTATATTTTCTCATATATTTGAAATCTCTGCTTGCTCAATTCTGTAATCTGTTAGAAAATAGCCGAAATAATCGATTAGCCAACTTCACTCATTAGCCAACTAGCCCCGGTCTCCTCTAATGTCCGCGTCGCACTACGGATTAGGATTGGAGATTGCAATTTAGCGAATCAGAACGAAGTTCACTAAACTCGAGTTTAGTTAAACTTGCTCCTGATTAGTGACATTTCAATCGAATCTCAATTCCAATCCGTAGTGTGACACGGACATCTAGTGTCTCGCGAGACCCACCTTGCTAAGTATCTTGGCGGTATTCGTCGCGGCTAACCGCGTACCTTCGTGAATATCGTCCATTACGCGAAATAATTTCTTCCACAGTTCCGGGCCGCATTCGGCGAAGTTGAACTGAACATTTGTCCTTAAAAGATCTGCGAGAGCATTACAACAACTGATACGCACCCTCCACTCGTTATTTGTTAGATTATCAGTTACATCAGTCAATATTTCTTTATGATACTGTTCGATCTACGGTGATATAAAAAAAAAAAGCATTGTTTACTCTCATATCACGCAATATATGCTGTAACGAGTATATATATATTCTTTAATACTACTAACGGCTTTTGTCGTGGACGGGACGACCGCCCTCCAAATGCTAGTCATACTCTGCTGGATTTTCGGCGTCGGGTCAAACTGATACCTGTACAGTCGCGGTATGATATTAGGCAGATACTTATTCAGCTCGTCCCTCGCGATACCGGCGATCGCTGCGAAACCGAACGCCGCGCCCTTCTTGGACGTCCATATCGCGTTATGATTTGCCAAGTGCATGAAATAATACACGAGTTCCGGCTTCTGCAATTCGGTCGCCAGAGAACAGATCTCTCGGTACGTTGACAGATTGCCGCTGAAAGATGCATTGTTTCCTTAAATGAAGATTCCGATATTCGATTCTTGTGAATTTTCAATATACAATTTCAAACATCTGATCTGTGTGCACGTAACCGAAATGTTTTCAATCCCCATGTATTCCAATGAAAAAAAAATGTCTTGTGTAACTTAATCTTACCCAGATGGACTCTTCCCCAATTGGCCCTCCTCAAACAATTTGGTGTCAGCAGTAACTTGTTGCACTGTTCTACGACCTTGCGTAAACTGATCCAATATGTTGGACACTAAAATATCGCGTTCTTCCTTTTTGCTGTTAATATGTACCAAACTAAGGCCTTTCGAAGCAATATCTTGTACTATATCTATACATATGGAATAAATGAGAATGAAATATCTTCCAAGATAAGACTAGAATTCGCTGATACAACGATATCGCTTACCACTGTCGTCGGAAAGAAAATCTATAAATGCATGGTGAATGGCGGACAGCCTTTCTTTGACGCATTCTCGTTGAACGTTGTGTTTCAAAAGTGCGAATAACCACACGCACACTGCCTTTAAGGAACACGAATTTGTCAGCAAGGCGTAATATACACGCGTGTCTCTGAAATATCTCATATATATAAATACCTGTCGTAGGTTCGGATGAGGCACTTGATATATATTAAGTAACTCGACCAACACATGTATCAATAATTCATCACTTTCCTTGCTGTACGGAATGACGTGCTCGGCAGATAAAGTCCTCCACATATCCCTGCCTTCCGGAGAAGCCTGCGCTTGAATGCAACAGACTAAAGCCTCCCCCAGAATCAAATGAATTTCTATGTCCTTCGTCTGTAAAATATCAAGAGAATTTCGTTGTTATCTAATAAAATGTACAGTGGCGGGCATGTACATAAGTACAGTTGACAAAGTTAAATTTTATTTACTTGTTGTGTATTTATACATGGAACTTTTAAATAAAATTCAACTGATTTTTTGTTTAACTGTCTCATGTATAGGTGCGCAAAAAAGAAAATTTAATTATGCTAACAGTAAGTGTATGGCTGCTACTAAATATAGATGCTTTATATATACGTGTATATACATATGTACATAAAGACAATATATACCTCTTTGACGGTCGCTATAATTTTATCAGCAACTTCCGTAGTATGGGGAAAAGATTCACCGACGCACAAATATCCTAACGAGAGTGCAGCTTTCTCTTTCATCTGAGAAAAGATGGAAATAAATATATATTATGAAAATATAAATATAATAAATATATATATATATATATGTAATATACACACACACAAATATATTATACTATATTATATAATATAGTATATAGTAATATAATATATAATTATAATATACACTAATATATTTATAATATATTGCACTGTATTATACGTGTACACATTAGCGTGTTTTCGGGAAACAAACCTTCGTACTCAATTTAGCGTTAGACAACACGGAAAACAGCGTTTCGACTATAGCCTTTTTATTCAAATCGTTATCACTTTCTGCTGGTAAAGGTAAAGAATATGTCTTTCCCAAGATGCCGATGCCTTGAACAGCGGCGTCCAGCAATAATATCGCATTATCATGGAGATATGTACCTGAATAGCATATATGTAGTATGTTAAATCTGTCTTAAACGTACTACGTATAATTTCGCTATAAATGTGCACACGTTCAAATATATACGTACATATTAATTTCACAATATCATTGTAAGTCGTCCAATTACACAGATTCTCCCTGCTTTCATTCCGTTGCTGCATCAAATTTCTCTCCATCATGTAAGTCAGCGTTATTAACGCACCGTGCTGCGCCTCCAAATTCTTCTTCTTCATAATATCCATTATGCCTGAAACGTGTTTCTCGAACTCGGCTCTCGGGAGATAGCCGGTGACAGCGGCGTACACTCTCGCGGCTAACTGTCGCACGTCTTGCTTAGTGGAGGTGAGTAAGGTGCCGAGCCACGGTAGCTCTTTTTCGTACGCTTTTATCATGTAAGGCGGGACAGATCCGAAAACTTCCAGTAACGCGCTTAAGGAAATTTGATCTGCAACACGCATCGTTGTGAAACGGGTGAAACTACAATTAACTCAGCATCCCACGGGCAACATCTACGTAATCACAATCACGATCCCGTGCGTATTTGTCTCTCTTATCTTACCTGAAGCGGAATGGCTTAATAATAAAATCATATCGAGATAATGATTTAAAATTTCCGGCTGATCCTTGTACAGATTCTCCAAGTAACGTCCAATCAGGGGAGTGTGCTCACAGGGATGTTGCAACGGCTCATTTCGCATCGGAATATTGGCACTTCTGGCGAGGCAGACGCGAAGGTAAGTGATGATCTGTAATCAACACGGGTCGTTAATACAGAAAAATGACTCCGAGCAACTGACGGATCACTTTCCGCGCGACTCACTTCGGAAAACGTCATAGTACTGTACGGGAGCACCTGTTGCTTGTCCGTGTTCCCTCTGCCGCTACTCACGGCGGGCATTCTCGACTGCATTTTCGAATGAATATAACCCACAAGTTTCACGAACTCCGGCAATACTACTTTACTGTTAACATACTGCTCGTCCTCACTCTTATGCACAACACCGTATAGCGCTTTCATAGCTTCTGTACTTATCTCATGTTTGTTGTCACCACACGCTAATAACAAGAGGTACCGAGATGGAGCGTCATCGGGAGGAAATACGGTGGCGGCATAATGCATTGCCACAAATCTATTTGCGGGGGTAACAATGTCACAATATACAATTAGAATACACACTAAAAGTTAATGTAACGTTGGGTATATTAGGTGTACAAATTAATTCGGTGCCATTGCATTTAACGTCCTGTAACTCCGCTTCAAATTTAAATTTTTCCCCGTCTTAAATGGTGATTCGAAAGTGCCAAGCTTAAGCTTTAAGAAGCGCTATAATAGTCGACGGCTTTACCGGTATAAAACAGAAAACAGTAGTTATCACGATTCGAAAAGAAGCATCTGAGGCACTCTGCATCCTTTCTGCACTCTAATTAAATAAAAATGCTGCTCAGTCTACCGAAATGATTTGTTCCGCTTTAGGTGAAGGTGTTATGATCCATAAAACTTGTAAAAAGACCTTTTACCGGTAATGAAACTAGGCAGGTGATTCTGCTGCACGATAACGCGCGGTCATATACTGCAAAAGGAACGAAGGATCTCATTTAAACATTGGACTGGGAAATTCTCCCTCATGCGGCTTATTCGCCAGATCTAGCCCCGTCGGATCATCACCTGTTCCGATCGCTTCAACATCATCCGGCGGATACGAAAACAGTTGATGAAGTCCGAAAAAGCATCGATGACTTTATCGAGTCGAAAACCGTCAAGTTTCTTCCGCATTCATCAGCTATCCGATAGATGGAGTAAAGTTAATAGAAAATAATGGGAATTATTTCGAACATTAAACTTGCCTTTTTGTAAATAAACTTTGAATTTCATGAAAAAAAAGGCACCGAATTAATTTGCACACCTAATAGATGGACTCAAGTCTAGCTGTTCGATACATGCCTGACGCTGGACTCCGGTGATTCGATGTGTACAGACAACAGAGCGTTCATCAGCGCTATGTTGCTCTCGTCTTCCTTGTTCAGCACGAATGCAGATGTCACGCAAATCAACGCGTCCCTCACTGTCCGTCGTAACTCGCCATCAGTCTTAAATAATAGAAAGATATCGTGTCACTGCGTATGCCATTAGAATAATTACTACCGTACTCCCTTTCCGCGGTCGGATACTTACGGATACAAGAGTGTCGAATAAATTGTGCAACAAGCTCAGATCTTTATTGATCAAAGACGGTATTCTTTGACCGAGTTGTCCAATAACCGTGTACGCCATCGGTTTGTGAGCGTCGTCGCCCTCGGAGATTAGCTTTATCATCCCGTTCAAAATAACACCAGCGACGCGAGCTAATGGCACAAGACTGCAGCTTAAATGTTTAAAATCAAAATGTAATTTATCATGCCGGTGAGCCGTGTGTTAACTAACGGGGAAAGACAATAAGATAATAATGATAAAAGAAACGTTTATCAATACACAAATTGTGAAACTTACTGCTGGACAATATTCGATGTGAATTGCAACGCCAGTGACTTCAACTTGGCGTTTGTATTTTTTCCATAGAGCGAATCGAAGACAACCTGAAAATTTTACAATTTTATCCCGTGGAAATTTCGCGTGTTCTTCTCTTCTTCGGCATAGCATACCTGTATGCACGGCGGTATGATAAAGCCTGCTTTAGTCACACGGCATAGATACTGCAGGAGCTTGAGACGAATTCGAGTGCTCGCGGGGAGTCGCTTCATCTCTGGCTTCACTTCTTTTTGAGTTGCTAGCGCATCGGTGCCCAGAAACAATGTGTACAATGGGGCTGCGAGTTGCATCGAAGACCAATCCAGTGTGCTGTGAACACCCAACAAATTTGATCAGCAAATGATGGCATTTGATGATAATCACGATATCACTGAGGTAACTCAAGAACTTTATAATATACAGGGTGTTTCGAAAAATATATGTACATACTTTGAATGATTATAAGTCAACGTTCGTTAACATACGGTTCATTTTCCAAATTTAAAAGAATCTACAGAAATGAATAATTGTTTTTGTCAACGCTTGTTTTCAGACTGATGACCGTTCCAGGCGCTGCAGATAACGCGAAGCAATGGAATCCGAAACATCAAGTATTGTTAACCCTTAAATGCATGAATTTTTTTTTATTACTGAATTATTTTGTTTAGGTTCATAGCAGAAAAATAGTCCCAGAAAATGAGAAAAATATTTTAAAAAATCTAAGTAAAAAAAATTGTCTTTATTTTCAAAATTTTTCGTACTTGCAAAAATGCAACATTGTGCACGAAAAAACATTTTGCAGCATAACTTTTAAATGTATATTTAAAGCAGATTGTTGCAAATATGCAACTATGAAGCGTTATGAATTATTCCTGAGGATTAGTATTTGACATGTGTAAAAATAAATATGTTGCAAATTTGCAACATTATGCATTTAAGGGTTAAAGTGTACATACATATTTTTGGGATACCCTGTATAATTCCAAGAACTTTTCTATATATACCCAATTATCTTTTTCAATTCCAGATCTGCCATGTTAGCTATGCTGAATCTAGTATCCGCGGCTGCTACAATTAAGTGTATCAAAATATCCGCATCGGGGAAGAATCCACCGACGAGGAACTTAACAATGCCCAATTTTATCTGCTCGAGTTGTTCCGCTGTTGGCGGACTCTCGCCGATCACTCGTTTGAACGCATAATCGCTTAAACCAGGTGGTACAGTAAACTGAGACCAATCGATAGTCTGTTGACCCGACTGTTGATTTTCCGTTTGACCCACAGACCTGACGATACATTACAATCAATAATTGAGCAAACATCGCAACGACGACGCAGTAATTGTGTATGCACATATACAGGGTCCGGCCGAATAACATTTAAAAGCCGCAATGACGTGATTCCTTATGCAAAAATAAGAAAAAAATTTAGAACAGAATTTTGTAATTTTCTACTTGGTTTTGTTCGAAAATCCGCTGTCTACATACGGTGTTACGACTACGCAGCGTATTTTCAAACTCGATTTTCTCCAAAACTAAGCTGAAAATTAAAAAATTTTATTCTATATTTTTTTCTTATTTTTTCACAAGGAATGACGTTGTGCCGGCTTTTACACGTTATTCGGCCGGATCTCGTAAATATATATACACATATATCTCACCCATATGGCAACAATAGTATGTCGAGCATAAAATTGATGAGTTGCTTCGCCACGTAAGGTTTGTCCTGCAAACCTAAGAGAGACGCTCGTTTGTCGGGATCCGTCGGTATATTAATATGTCCCAATGCTGGCATTATGATCAGCATTAAGCTGAAACAGATTATGATTCAATATGCTACATTGATTTTACATCACACGCACCTTCGTTCATTTCAAAAGTGAGGAGTCACTCAGCTCTGAAGGTTATACCAATATCAAGAGAACATCAGTATATTAACTTTCAAACTGAGTTTACCTCAAACCTAGGAACATACATGAAAAACATGTAAGAAACAAACCTGTCTTGATGAGACAACGGTTTTCCCTCAATAGCATTCAGTACACTTGGAACTAACTCTGCTTGCTTACTCATCTCCATTCGAGGATATCCTAACTTAATGTATATTATCGTAAAGTTCTGCAAATATATACATAGACATATATTGTAGAATGTTCTCCAGCCTCAAGGCTCGCACAGCAATTTGTATTCACAGTACAATGACGTACAATCATGAATGAACTAGCAGTCGGATCCTGGTATTGCAAAAGTAATGCCTCAACAGGCAGCTGTACTTGAGGCCTGCTCTTCACCCTCCTGTTAATATGAACCAAAAGCTCCAGCACCTTCTTCCTGACACCCTCCTGCGCGCTGGACAACTTGAGCAACACAGGAGGCAGAAACTTACAGACCGACGCCTGTAACTGGTCATCTGTCTCCGCAGAGCCCAGGCGAAGGAACACTCGCTCAAGCAAGACTGAATGAGATACAAACGAAGGAATAAACAATTAACGATACATATCCCCAGTTTAATCTCTTCATAATACAATACAAGAGGTTCCTTGCTGTACTCATAAGGAAATTATAGGAGCGATTGTATATAATGTATATGTTAATTCCGTATATATACATTTCACACAGCGCATATTCGTGAGGAAATAATTAAGCCGTCAGATAGGAAATCATCGTGAGAAACGTCGATGTCATCGGGATACCACGTCGAGGAAGAAGCATCAACTGGACACGTAGACGCGACACGGAGATTTGACAGCTGCAAGCACGTGCCGAGGAGACGGTATCGAGAGGAAAGAGAGACGGGCGGGGCGAGGGAGGAATATCGCGGAGGCCGAGATCCGCGGGCGATTCCCCGAGAGCGACACGTTCGGAGTTGCCTTCTGCCAGGCGGCATGACAATTGACTTTACGCCTCGCCTTCCCGTTACCCGGGATTTTCGCGACGCACGGCGCATCCGTGACGACAAACGGACGCGACAGCGCGTCACACGATTCACGGGCCGATCGCCGATACCGAGCGGCGACGTCGTTCCTGCACGCGAGACGATAAAGGGCTTTTTTTTCCCGGGAGTACTTACTCAGCTCGTCCGTAGCCGCTGCCATTTTGAAAAAGGCTATAAGAGAAAGCGCGAACGCGAACTGTATAATCCGAGTTGACAAGAATAATGTGTCGCGCGAATCTCACGCGATCAGCGACATTGTCGACGCGTTGGCGAATGCACCACCTGCGCGAAAAGCGCGATATTAACGCGCGTCTTCCCTTCAACGCTCGTCGACGTGACTCCGCTTATCGGCCGTCGTGCGATGCGACACCACCACGTCGTCGTCGTCGCATATCGCAACCCCCGTCGAACCGTGCTCGTTCGTCGTTTTACATGAGGGCGCTAGATTTTGGTCTGAGGTTAGAAAAAACGTCGCGAACGCGTGTTACGAGATCGACTCGACGTGCGATTATCCGTGCCAGCATGTTCGCGGGGAAGTTTTCACGGCGATCAATCGCGACCGCGGACGATAGTTGATTCCCGATCGACGAGTCGTCGATCGAAAGTGTGTGCGGTGTTTAAAGGAAAAAAAAACAGAAACGAAATCTCAGGAAATAAGAACGCTAAATATGCGGGGAATCGTGTCGCGATTGGAGTGTTTCTGACGAAACACGCCGCTGGATAAGAAAATCCGTCCTCTCCGATCACGAGATATTCTCGTATTCTGTACTTTGTCCGGGTTCATCCGCGCTATTCGAGGCGCCGCTATTGAGGTTACGAGGTTATGGTGAATGTTATCGGCTATTATTAACGCGTCGGTTAACCTACAGCCTATCTGCAAGCGCAATCACGTGACGCGCTCTTTCGAGAGATACGTAATCGGGGATTAAAAATGTTACGATAATCAAGTTCGAATTCGAAGAAAATGTGATCTCTATGCTACGTCCGTGAGTATAGAAAACGTGATGATCGACGCAGGAGATCCAGTAAGATCATAGATCAAGGGATCATAAGATGTTGCCGAAATGTTTTCGTAACTGTGACGACGATTCGACTCGCCGAAATTATTATTGTGAATGATTGTTAAGGAATCCCTTCAAACACGCTGAACACGTTTAGCACTTGTATTTATCGCCGTTCCGCTTTCTACTCTTGTACACTCAAACGGTAACAATAAACGAATAATTTGTATTATGTCGGCGATGAGATTAATTTCAAAAACTCCCGCCGAAACCCGCAAATTTCTCCTTAAAGTTGCCTCCGCACGAGAGATGTCTGTCCGAAAAAAAACTGCGATGACAAGCGAACGGGGAAGATCTTATCATCGATTATCTTCGAGAGTAGAAAAACTCCCTCCGGGAGATATTCTCTGGAAAATTTACGCGATATTTCATGTAATAATTATTCGCAATAAATTTCCGCACTGTGTGATTCGTTGCGTTTCTTTAGCATTTTCAAACAGATACAACTGATATTACTGCGCGCTTCCAACCAATGAACAAACAGTATTTTTGCCATGTAAAAGCCGGCATATGTCAAGCTCGGTCGTGGTTCTTGTTTGTTGACCTTCAACGCTGTCTTTAGTAAAATAGAGGTCAACTCGTGTGGCTCGTCCTGCCGACCTGCCCGAATGAGAACAAACGTTGTTCCACGTCGTGCTATCATTTATCACTTTACAGCCGATATTTGTAGGTAGGAAGTTTTCATCGACAAGCAAATAATTAATGTCTGTTCGTAGTAAATTTTATCTGAGGTGCATCTTTACGCGTTAACGTGCTTTTCATTTCAGTTAACAGTGGTTGTTTCATCCGATTTTCCGAATCGCTGTGCAAATGTTAAATTTTACCTTAATATAAATATTTGTGTATTCATAGTGTGTTTTGTGCGTTCTCCTCTTGATGCGCATATTGTGGAAGGTAATTTATTTTATATCTTTTTGACAATATTTTTATCATATATTTTAGTTCTTTTTGGTGTTATAATTGTTTCTGCATATTATTTTGTACGTTACTCGATATCTTGTAATATTTTATTGTATGCGAATCTATCTGACCAGAGAATTTAGTATTTTTTATTTATTATTTATTATAAATCACAGTTACTAATTCTTTAATTATGTCTGGTAATTACATATGAGTTTTTATGCTTGTTATATAAATGTGAAGTATTACCTGGGAAAAAACACATGTATATAATTGTATTAATAATGTCATATAGTTTCTTACAAAGTATTATGTATCTTTACATTAAACGTATGTTTACATTAAAATATATCAATAAAAATTGTAAATCTGGTACTTTAATTATTTTTATATTTCTCTATACTAACATAGTATAACTTTAAGTACTCTATGGAAAATCTGTATAATTGTTTATTTTATTGATTAAATTAGCACATATAAAATAGCATACACAAAATATAATGTTTATAAATATTTAAGTCACTTTTATGTGATATTTATTTTTAATTATTTATATATGTGTATGTTAGATATCTCTAAGAAATGTAATCAATATAAATGCAAAATATTTCATATACTTGGTAATTTTATACCTCTTATGTATCTGTTATAGGTAGCACACACTTATAAAGGCTTTACTTGTACATAGTAAAATATGGATGTGATATAATAACATATATTTCATAAATTCTCTGCATGAAGCACCTAAGTATAATTAAGTAAATGCCTTACATGTTTTGACAATGGATTCAGCTATGTGCTTTTTTTGCAATATTGGAAACACATTCTTAAGAGGATTCAAAAGCTTTATACAGTATTTATGCAAGTGTTGTTGTTGTTTAACCTGGCTTTGTGTAAGTTTTGACACAAATATATGTATAAGAAATTTACAACACGTATAACGTTATCAAATTTTATATTCTTGCTGAAACATTCGGGCGATGCAATTACCGCAACTTGGTAATATGCAGCAAAGTTCGTTTGTAGTTACCAAATTTATTAGAGTCAGCGCAGTCAAGTCTTATGGCAGGAAGCAGTTGTCACATTACTATAGGATTGTAATCTTAGTATGTAGGGTAAGAATAGAGCTTTGTGCGTGTTCATAGAGCAGAACACTGTAATGTAATATTATGCACGCTTGCTAACTGCTTTATGCCAATAACTTATATTAAGGCTTGGATTCTGCCAGCTGAGCACACATCCATTCGAGGTGTATTATCCCTTGCAGCAGCTCTCTGCTTGGTAAACTTTGCTCAGATTAAGTGAAAATTATTCTATTCTCCGTCTGTTTTCAGAGTTTTTATATTGTCAAGTCTATTTGACATATATTTATACTCAAAGAATTGTATAATTTTGCCCTGTTTAAATTGTTTTGCATCTGAGAAAATTTTAAAGACTATAAAAGTAAAATGCAAGAGTAACATATGTATATACATGTATTATACATTATTCTTATACAACTTACAATTATTTCTTAGTTTCAGAAAAGAACTGAAAATATGGCAGAGTACAATATATTAAATCATGACTCTGAACAAATAAGAGTTCTAACTGTGAATAACGGAGAACATCTAGATGGAATATTATATAAATTAAAAAAAGGTTATTCAAAAGATCTCATTATCCCCAGAATTATGCTACATATTTTCCTAGAACTGTATTTCAAACTATTCTGTTATCATAGAAAATTGGTATCATTGAAAATTTTAAGTCACTCTATTTCTCCTACAGGATGGAAGGTTGAATTTAGACTTGGAGCTTCCCTTCTTGGACAGACACTTGATATTTTTATGAACTACCCGTTATTGGCTGAAAAGAAATTTGAAAGGCATACTTACTATCAATTGCCATGGGTTGATGAGTCGGCGACTGTTCATTTGACTCTACCTGGTTCCTACCATTATTACGTCACTGATAAGTACGCATCGAATATTACAAATATTTCTGAGAGACGTTATTTTTTAATAACCAAGCGCATTTCTTTCGCAGAGTCAAGGGTGGTGCACCTGCGCCTTGTCCTTTCCAAATAAAACCTATCGCGTCTGGATACTTGCTGGTGGATCCTGAGTTGAAAGTAGGCGAGAACGAGGAGGATCTACCTCTGGATTGTATTCAAATTCAAACAGTCTTGGCAAAGTGTATGGGACCTTTTTTCACTTGGGAAGATAAATTACTGGTAGCTCGAAATTCTGGATACAACGCGCTCCACTTTACACCAATTCAGGTAATATAATGGTACAACAAATGCATTGCTGATATAATGCACCACAGATGTGATGTTTGTTACAAACCCAGTAAGTAAATTAATCGCAGACCGATTGGCAGCTAATTTGATCAGAATTCCACACCAAAGTCGTAGCCATTTGTGTTCGCGACTCGTGTTTTGACGACAGAGCTAACGGACGATTGGCAGCAGATTGGCAGCAGAAACCGCACAGAGTCTGCCGCTGAACTGCGCGCTGCAGGATCTGTTCGATTTCTGCCGGCAATCTGCTCGCATCGCCTATCGATATGTTTTATCACATTTCTGGCGGCAGTTTGGCAATACAGTCAAAGAATCAGATTCTGGATTCTGTTGGATTTGTTGTCTTCCTGGCAACAAAAAATTTGCAACAGATTCTTCTCAGAATCTATTCGCGCAGATTTAGCTATGATAAACGCGCATGTTTCAACGTTTCAGGAATTAGGACAGTCTAACTCGTCGTACAGTTTGAGCGATCAGATGAAACTCAATCCTTCTTTTAACGACAACAACAAGATAATTACATATCACGACGTTGAACGATTTGTTAACAAAATGCGAACCGAATGGAAGGTAAGTCACTGTCGTCGAGTAGAAAACAATGATTTCCTCAGCGTGTCAACATATTACGTCTCTTAATGATCGTCCGTGTGTTACAGATGTTAAGTATATGCGATATCGTTCTGAACCATACAGCGAATGAGAGTCCTTTCCTAGTTTCTCATCCGGAGTGTACATATAATTGCGTGAATTGTCCTCACCTACGTCCGGCCTACATTTTGGACGCAGCGTTATTTGAATTATCGATGCAGATTGCTGCTGGCGATTGGGAGTTCAAAGGTATTCCTGCCGTAGTCGAGACTGAGGATCATTTAAATGTAAGTTGTAAATTATTCTATTTTTTTTTTGCGTTGCGTGTTAAATACCAATGCAATAAAAATTTCGTCCTCGTGTGTTCCACTTTGCTCGGTTTATCTTCCGGCAGTTTCTTTAAAACATTCTACTTTCAGTCGATACGTCACGCCCTCCACACGCATTTCTTGCCGCTCGTAAAGATACACGAAATTTACACAGTAGACATTCACGAGATCATAGCGGAATTCTTGAGCTTGGCGCGCAACGAAATGCCGCAAGATGTGGCTAATGTGGAAGATAAAGATATTTCGGTGATTCAAGACCCCAGCTTCCGTAAATTGAAATCAACTATAAACATGCAACTCGCTTTGAAAAAGTATAACACGTACAGGTAAGACACACAAGTTGAAACGACAAACTGAGAGCGTTTTGCTCCATCCTTATGAATCCATCCTTCATTTATAACTTTCTTATTTTGCAGAGCTGATTGCTTTGACGAGGAAACCCGCTTGAAACGATGCGCGGAGGACTTGAAATGCAAATTACAGGAACTCAACGAAGTGATCGTCAACGATGTAAAAAACCACTTGAATGCTGCAGTTGAGAATACTATTGCTAGCATAAGATATTTCAGGGTACAGTCCGATGGGCCGAGAATTAAGAAAATTAGCGAGAAGAATCTCCTCGTTCCAAGGTAACTTGATTTATATAATTTGAAATATTATATTTCGCAGAAATATAATAATAATATTTCTACGGATGTATCTTTTAATATAATAAAAAATTCACGTTTATTAGATACTTCACTGATTATGGAGCACCCAAATCTTTAGCGGAAAGGGAGAATATAATGTATTCGGACAATGGATGTTATTTAATGGCGCACAATGGTTGGGTGATGAATGGCGATCCTCTGAAGAATTTCGCTGACTCTGACTCGAATGTTTACATCCGGAGAGAACTCATCGCCTGGGGAGATAGTGTAAAGCTCAGGTAAAAATGATGGACCAGCTTTTCATGCTGCGTTATTACCGAAAAGCACAACTGTACGATTTCAAGTTTGCATTGCGAATGATGTAATTATTAGATACGGAGAAAAACCGGAAGATTGTCCTTTCTTATGGCGACACATGACAACTTATGTAGAACAGACAGCACAGATATTTGACGGTATTCGGTTAGACAACTGCCATTCCACGCCGATCCCCGTTGCTGAGGTACATACGAGTATGAGAAATTTTTACGTATTGATATGTTTATTAGACAGCGTAACTCTCTGTTTTCAGTATATGCTTGACGCCGCACGACGAATCCGTCCGAATCTTTACGTTGTCGCGGAATTGTTCACCAACTCTGATCAGAAAGACAACATTTTTGTAAATCGTCTTGGCATTACTTCTTTGATTAGAGGTAAGTCGCTAATTACTTTTATTATATATATATATATTTTTTTTTTATATAAATTATATAATATATTTATTTATTTATTCATTTATTTATTTATAATGTATAAAGGCGTTTTTATAATCATTATATAGACCATTTTTTTTAATATGGACACTTTCTGTATGTTAAAAATAATATACATTTCTTATATTTAAAAAATGTTATATATATATATATTAATGTATCGTGTGGTTAGATATGAAGACATCAAAGTTTATGTAAATTGCAGAAGCTATGTCAGCGTGGGATAGTCATGAAGAAGGCAGACTAGTTTATCGATACGGAGGAGAGCCGGTGGGAGCGTTTCTGCAGCCGCGGAAACGGCCATTAGTACCGAACATCGCTCATGCTTTATTCCTGGACGTAACTCACGACAATCCTAGCCCGGTGGAGAAGCGCAGCACTTTCGATTTACTGCCAAGTGCGGCACTTGTGTCAATGGCATGCTGTGCCAGCGGCAGCAGTCGCGGTTACGACGAATTAGTTCCCCATCATGTAAGTTCGCGCAGACTTGGTGGAATCTCCGCGCGATTTTCACCGCGACACAATTCTCCGTCGACTCGCTAAATCTCTACTATTGTTTCCTTCAGATACACGTAGTCGATGAGAAGAGACAGTATACTTCGTGGACCGATAACGACGATTTAGCGAACAACATTAAGTACATTAATTCGAAGACCGGTATAATCGCAGCTAAAAATGCGCTCAACGACTTGCATTACACGCTTGGCAAGCAAAACTTTTCGCAGGTACGTTGTCGGTCGTTCGTTCATTTTCATGGTTCACGGAGGTGTTGAGAAGATCGGTTTCCCTCGGCCACAGGTATTTGTCGATCAGATAGACAGTGACACGGTGGCTGTAACGAGACACTCGCCGACCACCCACGAGAGTGTAGTTCTCGTCGCGTTTACGGCTTTCAAGCATCCCGATTCTAGTACCCACGATCTGAGGAGACACGTGAAACCTTTGAGAGTAGAGGGAATAGTGGAGGAAATCATTTTGGAAGCGTCGCTTTCGCATGTCGACGCCAGGTAAGCAGCAAGTATGATCTCGCTTCGAGAGAAAGACTATTTTGCGTATTTATTCCAACCATTTATCAATATTTCGCAGAAATGGCAAATCACCTTTTCATTTGCCCGAAAAATACGTGAAGGATCCGCACTTTATCAACGGATTGTCCGAATACGTGTTGACTTTAAAGCAGCACGTACAGTGTTGCGACTCTACGATGGTCGAGAAGGTCGATTCCGGCGACCCTAAGATTACTCAGCTCAACTTCGTGAACTTCCAGCCTGGCTCTGTCATTGCTATACGGTACGAGCTATACGATTCTTATCTCGAGATATTTGCGATATCTGATATTGAAGTTGATTTCTTTACGGGATTTTTTCAGAGTGGCCCTACACGCAAATATAAAACCCGCTCTGACAGATCTTCAAAATACCATCGCGCGAATCACGAATGAAGCGTCAGACTTACGTGATATTATATCCCGCATGGATTTCGCGGATCTGAACAAAGCTCTGTACAGGTGCGATCAAGAAGAGCGAGGCGAAACGATGAACCGATTTGGAGTATACGATGTGCCAGGATACGGGCCGTTTGTGTACGCTGGACTACAAGGTGACACGTTGCAGTATTTGGAAACATCTCCCTTTTTCTCATTTAAGGAACAAAATTCCCTCTTTTCATTTTTTTTTTTTTTTCTTAAGCCGAGTCTACAATGAGAATTTAAGCTCTAAGTCTTAAGAAATTTATCAATCACAGTCGAATGTGAGAAGAATAATCGACTGTGATCAGTCAATTTCTTAAGGCTTAGAGCTTAAATTCTCATTGTAGACCCCGCTTTATTCGACTTGANTAAAAAAAAAAAAAAAAAAAAAAAAAACTACGTCGTAAAAAACAATAACTTCTTTGAAGACGAAACAAAAGATGAAAAAAAAATGGTAATAATGAGAGACAATATTTATAAAATGAAGAACTGTGATTTTATTTTCAAGTTGTTCTCATCAGAGAAAGACAGAATGACCGTCAACAGACTGTTATTACCTATGTTTTTTTTTTAATTACATAGTAAAATTGATTATACATGACTTGTCCGTTCATAATTCTTGTTTGTCTACTAAGCTAAAACGAGTTAAAACTAACAAGCATACCCAAGAGAAAGACAGAATGACCGTCAAGAGACTGTCAATACCTGACTGTGTTTTCTTTAAATTACACAGTAAAATTGATCATACAGACTAGTCCGTTCATAATTCTTGTTTGTCTACCAAGCTAAAATGAGTTAAAACTAACAAGCGTACCCAAGAAAACAATGACCGTCATGAACATACCTAGAATAACACCTTGTTATTTTTTTAAGAATAAAACTCACTTTTCTCGCTGCTTTACAGTCAAGTCACCCTCATGCCTGTATTTGACTCCTATGTAAAAAATATATTCGTACAGAGACACTTTTTAAAAACCTTTTAATTATATCTTCACGTTACTTAACAAATATTTCATTCTCATCAGGTGTTGTATCCTTACTGGCCGACATTCGCCCAAATAATGATCTGGGACATCCTTTGTGCGACAATCTTAGACAAGACAACTGGTTGATAGGTAATATTTCGGAAACCACTTCCGTGACGCGTGGATAATTTTAGATAGTAATAATGATCGTGTGTGTTAAAAATTTCATACAGACTACTTGTGGCAACGTTTGAAAGAGGATAATGGCACGAAACCTCTTGGAGTGTGGCTTCAGAAAACAATGGAACCGTTTAAGTTAATCCCGAGATATTTAGTGCCAAGTTACTTCGACGTCATAATCGTGAACGTCTATATTAACCTCATAGATCACTGCTACAATTTGATGTCGAGGTAAGCATTAGAACTGAGCGTTAAATCGTTTCGTTAGTACATGCAAATTTTTCAGCTTCTCATCTATTTTTATCGTGCGTAAAGCTTGAAGCCGTCTACTTATTAATTGTGCATTTCGCTGTTGCGACTCACCACTGATCGTACGATGTTATTTCAGTTTTGTGAAGAACGGGACCACGTTTGTTAAATTATTGAGTCTGATCTCGGTACAGATGTGTGGTATAGTGAAGTCATCGCTGTTACCGGACTTATCGCCTAGTCTCACTCCACCTACGCCGAAAATGGAAAATTACGATGGACAAAATAAGCAAATCTGCTTAACGATGTCAGCGGGCCTGCCGCACTTCACGACGGGTTACATGAGAAATTGGGGTAGGGACACCTTCATCGCTTTGAGAGGACTGTTGCTTTTAACCGGCAGGCATACAGAGGCGAGATTCACCATTCTTGGCTATGCTGGGACTCTGCGACATGGTCTGATACCTAATCTACTCGATAAAGGAAACAATGCTAGGTATAATAGCTTTTCAGAGAACATATCTTACAAATATATATTATATACAAATATATAATATATTTGAAAAGTAGTACAGTAGGATTTTCTTTTCTTTATCCTCAATTTTATTCCACAACAGATACAATTGTCGTGATGCTCTGTGGTGGTGGCTCTACACCATAAAATGTTACGTCGAAGAGGTTCCGGACGGTGTAAAAATTCTGTCCGATAAAGTCTCAAGATTGTTCCCGACCGACGACTCACCAGCCTTGCCTGCGGGACAAGTGGTATGTCGTTTTATCTTAAAAACGCCTATCGTGGTTGGTTAAATTTTATATATTAGGTGTACAAGTTAATTCGGCCGTTATTTAATGTCCTGTAACTGGTTCATATTATAATTTTTTTCCTGTCCTATATGGTGATTTGAAAGTGCCAACCTTAAGCTTTAAGAAGCACTATAATAGTTGACGGCCTTGCCGATATAACTTCAGAAAACAGTGATCATGATGTTGTTCGAAAGGAAGCATCTGAGGCACAGCATCCTTTTTGCACTCCAGTTGAATAAAAATGCTGCCAGTCTACCAAGATGATTTGTTCCGCTTTGGGTGAAGGTGCTGTGACTCGTAAAACTTGTAAAGGGATCTTTTGCTGGCACTAGAACTAAGCAGATAATTCTGCTGCACGATAACGCGCGGTCATATATTGCAAAAGAGACGAAGGATCTTCTCTAAACATTGGGTTGGGAAATTCTCCCTCGTGCGGTTTATTCGCCAGATCTAACCCAGTCGGAGTACCACCTATTTTGGTCGCTTCAGCATCATCTGGTGGATACGGATTTTTAGGAAATAATGGAAATTATTTCGAACATTAAACTTGTACTTGACTTTTTGTAAATAAACTTTGAATTTCATGAAAAAGGGCACCGAATTAATTTATACATCTAATATTATTGTTATGTAATACGGTAATACGTAATAAAAGTAATATGTAATACACAGCATCACAGTTCATCACTAAATGTATGATTTTAGGACCAACTGTTGCACGAGGTAATTCAGGAAGCTTTGACGATACATTTCCAAGGTCTTTGCTTCAGAGAGAGAAACGCCGGGAGACAGATTGACGAGCACATGAGCGATCGTGGGTTCAACAATCAGATTGGCGTTCATCCCGAGACAGGTTTCGTTTTCGGCGGTAACGATGCCAATTGCGGGACCTGGATGGACAAGATGGGTTCCTCTGAGAAGGCTGGTAACAAGGGGAAACCGGCCACACCCAGGGACGGCTCCGCCGTAGAGATAGTTGGGCTGAGCAAGTGCATCCTCAGCTTCCTGGCCGAATTGTACAAGCAAAATCTTTTCCCGTACGGTAGCGTTCAGCGTAAGAGTCGCGATGGTAAGTTTGTTCGGTATGCCAGGTGGTAAGTATGCAAACTCTCAAGACAACCGGTTCGGATTTTTGTAATCATGACTGCATGGACAGGCAAAGTAACAACTTGGAGTTACAAGGAGTGGGCCGACAGAATTGCCGCGAACTTCGAGAAGTGCTTCTACGTGAATGAGATTCCGACGAAGGGCGAGTTGAGACCTGATCTGATTCACCGACGGGGCATAATCAAAGACAGTTACGGAGCTACGCAGGAATGGGCTGATTTTCAGCTGCGGCCGAATTTCCCTGTCGCTATGGTTGTTGTGAGTAAATGCAGTTGATATGTGTACAACTCATTCAGTGATATATCGTGAAATGCCTATAAACAAGTATGGGAGCGACTCGCTTTTCTCACGTATTTAGAAATCTCTTTAGAAAGGATATCTCAATTTTTCTCAATCTTAAGAAAAACTCATCGTGTCACAAAATTGTGTTTTCTTCAAATTGCATAATAGAATCGAATTGTCCACGATTGCTCCACCTTTGTCCATCCATAATTTTCATTTGTCTGCTTAATCAAAACGTTATTAACAAACGTTAATAATGAACCCAAGAAAATAGACAATGGCCATCGCACAACTGATTTTTTTTTTAATTAGATATTTTTTATATTTAAGAAGTTGATTTACTAGTTTATTTTCAACGGAAAATCCTGTAATTTAGATATTTTTTTGTTATTAAAATTTTTTTTAACGAAAATATATGAATAAAATAAAATGAAAAATAATATTTGAATTCAGTTAAGGTACATTGCAATATATTTCCAAGATACTGAATACATATTGGATCCTTGTATATATACAATATATAAGATGTATGTATGTTTAAAAAATACACAAAATTTAAAGTTTTATATTTGAATATGTACCTAAGATTGAATTTAAAGTAAAATTTAAAATGTTTTTCATTGACTTTTTCATTATAAGGTCAGCGTTTTTAATTTCTTAGAGGAATGGTATAATAGATAAATAAATTAACTTTTAATGTACAAATTATTTGAAGAAGACTCACTTTTTACTCATTATTTTAAAACTATTTTTTTCCAAAAATGAAACTCATTTTTTTCACTATTTTGGACGGTTAAGGTGACATTGCACCTTTGAAATGACCAAAAAATCCAAAAGTTTTTGAATTTCAATGATTTCTTATTGGATAATTTTTTAGCAGTATTTTTCCATTTATTAAATTTAAAAATATTGAAAATTACGATTTTGGCAGTTGAAAAATAAAAGAGAAAGCTATGTTTTTTATCGGTTTTACCGCGATTTCTTAAAAACAAAAAGAGATATCTAGATAATATTTTTCTTGAAATGTTTCTAATTAGATTCTCTGAAAAACTAAACCTAAACATTGCTAAGGAAAAATTGCATTTGCTTAAAAAAATAGGCAGAAAGTCGAAAAATCTTGAGTAATTGTGGTTTTTGGAGTGCCAATTTGTCAATAAATGTTATTTTTCCTGTTTGAGAGGATTCAATCGATAAATAATTTATTCAGGAAAAGAATTGCAGCTTTCCAAAATTTTACGATAGAATTGCAAGATTATTGTAAAACCAAAATAGGATCCTTTCTTCATCACTGCACATAATAAACAAGCTTTTTGCAACTTTGAATATCTCATTTCTTTCTTAAAACCATGTACAAAGTATCACTAAAAAGTAAAGTATCACTAAAACGTAAATTTATTTATATTTGTCGTAATTTGTGACTATCTCACCGATCTTTTCGCATGTTTAAAAGTCTAGTATTCCCTTAAACCGCTCCCAAATCTATACAAATGTTAATGATACTTTCTACGTGCTAAGTTGAGTAAATGGTAACAATGTTGTAATGATCCGAAGGCTCCGGAATTGTTCAATCCTCATCATGCATGGAATGCGTTGAAGAAAGCGGAGGAGATATTATTGGGTCCTTTGGGCATGAAAACGTTAGATCCTGCAGATTGGGCTTACAATGGTTACTATGACAATTCCAACGACAGTACTGACACAAAAGTGGCGCACGGATGGAACTATCATCAGGGACCTGTAAGTGTTTATCACGTGTCATATATTTTCTTTAAAACATTAATAAAAAAAAATTAATCATGTTCTTAAATATCTACTCCAAATGATACATATCCAGATAGCCAAACCTGCAGAAGCAGATTAGATTTTGCGCTGCGTGTCTGCTGTAAATTTTGTCGGCGGTCTGCTAGCAAAAACTAGAGCGCCTCTAATCAGAGTGACGACATACAAATACAATTTTTCATCCGTTCCTGCTTGTTTTTCGACTTTATTATTTTCTGACTTTGTATTTTCATTGGAAAAATGTTCAAATTAAAATAGGAAACATTAATACTAATTGTAAAGAAATTGAAGAATGTGAATTATACATAAAATATTAATACAGCTTCAGTTAGTTTAAGATTTGTCGTTACGTCACCATTTAAATATATTTAAGTGGAATTGTACTACAGATCCTGCTCGGCTTCTACCGTCAATTTATGTTAGCAGGCTCCGTTGTCAGTAGTTTGCTTACGCTTAAATATCTTCCCAGGAATGGGTTTGGCCGATGGGGTATTTTCTGCGAGCGCGTCTGCACTTCGCATCATTGATCGGCGGCGAGGAGGAGTTGCGTCGCGTGATCGGATCGACTGAAGCTATCGTCTCACGACACTTCGTCGAAGCGTCCACCAATCATTGGAGAGGCCTTCCTGAGCTCACTAACAAAGACGGCAGCTATTGCAAGCACAGTTGTCGCACTCAAGCGTGGAGCGCCTCGTCCATACTTGAGGTTTGTTCACTCAATACACACAAGTTTCCTGCGTGTTCCTCAGGACCTTAACAAAGATTTATCGGCTCAAGACAATGTTTTATATTTTAAATCTCTGTTTGAAGTAACGCATAATGACCGTCTTTTAAGCCTTAAGAAATTGACCAATCATAGTTAATTATTCTCTTCGCATTCGACTGTGATCGGTCAATTTTCTTAAAGCTTAAAACACCTATTGTAGACCAGGACTGACATACAATAACTGTCTTGTGTTCGGAATCTCAAACTAAAAAGCCTGTTTGTGATTGATGATAAGTCGCTGTACAATAAAAAAGGACAAGCAGTGACAATCTAGATAAAGATTTAGGAAATCAAACATTGTCTTATACCGCGTTTCTATCATGGCGGTTTAAATCTAATCGATGATTAACGGATTGGCCGATCGTATTGGTCGGTTAGCTGATCAATGCGATTGGTCAATCCCGTTGAGTTAGTCGTCGATTAGATTTCAATCATGCCGGAAACGGGCGTGAAAATGACAAGCCAGCCGTTCTTGCCGAAGCCCTTACGATCCCGAGGCAAGTTTTATTCTACTTCAAGTACTGCGTAATTCACATTCTGTTTGTCACGACTCAGGTACTCCACGATCTGCAGAAGATCAAGCGGGAATTGCGTTCGGAGCGCGTGAAGTTCGCGAATTGATATAATCCCGCGTGTGTTCACCACCGCCAGTTACACGTAGAACAATCGAAACTAGAAGAAGCAAGACGTAGTGGCAGGAGCGACGCGAACAACATAGCGACACCGCGCACGGAGACACACGCACACCGTATCCCGCACGTAGACATAACGAACGCACCGGTCGATGAACACGACGCAGCCGGCGATTTCACGGCCGGGAGAAGCGATACTTCGACTGAAAATCGCTTGATCTGCGCAACGTCGATCAACGAAAAGAACGACGACACGAGTCTCGGCGGTCTTTCATGTTTCGTCGACGACCCGACGGATTGGTACTCGTCAGACGCAGAGATTCACGCTCGGTCGACGTTCAAGACGGAACGCATCGATCGTGAGCGCGAGGTAGGATGCGCCAAGGACCAACCACGAAAGGATCGACGACGCTCCGGGACGGCGCACGGCGACGCCAGGGACGAAGCTGCGAGCACTCACGCCTTCACGAACGCTGACCACGTCTACGAGGAAGTCGGCACGACCAGGGAGCCGGCGTACGGTTCGTGCGACATCCAGGCTCGCCAGGATACGGGACACAGTCCTGTCGCAGCGAAGACCTCGACGATAGATACGCCCCTCCCGCCTCCGTGGCGGGAAATCTACGGGGAATGCGCGGGAACGCGAAGTCCGGTGTACACCGACCGGTTGGTGTACGCGGGAGAACCGCTGCTTGCCGTGGAGGTGGTGCTGTGCCAGCGCGACGACGTCAGCTGCTTCAGGTACCGCGCCGCCGGCCGTACTCGACAGGAAGAATCCGACCCGAGCCTCCGTTCGCGGCACCGAGACTTGGACCGCATGCTGGTCTACAGCTGCGTCAAGACCAACGCCGCAGGCATACTTTACTCCCACCGTCGGCCACGAGACGTCTTCGACCTCAAGTCGCTACTGAAGCCGAGCATTCGCGTCGTCGGGCGCAATACGAGCAACCCGGTGAACACCCAGCTGTACCATCGCTTCGTGAACAATCCTCACGCGAGGATGCCGGGAGCCGCGCCGCCCATGGCGTTCCATCGTGGCAACATGGCGGGCCGCGCGAAACGCGTCTTCGAGGTTCCACCGAACGACGACCGGTGGCGCCGCTCGAGGGACGACGATGACGACGAACGTCGGCGGGACAGGTCGAGCCTGCTGCTGCTGGAGCCGTTGCTGCTGAGGCCGGAACTGGCGGGAATCCGGGATGACAGGAAGAAGAACCCCGTTCTACGATCGGAACGCGTGAAGATCGTCAGAATACTGATCGCTTACGTATCGTCGTTCTTTGTTCTCACAAGCATCACGTTTTACGTAGTTTACTTTACTTAGCCGAACGGCCGCTCGTCGGGCGAAATCGTCATGGAGAGACGACGTCTAGGTAATTTGAATCGCATCGCATGACACGATGTTGTTGTTGTTATTATTATACGTAGTACATTTATTGTCATTAATTTCACATTACATTTTGTCTCGAGATGTTCGCAAGGTGTCCCGCAGAACCATTGACATCGCAGTCTTTTACGTCTCGTCAGAGACACGCGCATGCTTCCGACGACGCGATTCATTAATGACAAACAAATGTTTCGTAGTATACAAATTATAACTAGCTTAAAGATTAGGTCTATACATACACATACACACACGTATGTGTGTGTGTGTGTGTGTGTATATATATATGTTTATTGCACCAAACAGAACCATTCTCGTGTCGAAACTGTCTTCCGTCAGCCATTCGTCAGAATCAGATCACACGTACGACTTCTGTGTGTGTTACGAATGTTAAAAAGCTCGCATATATACATATATATATATATATATATATATAATTCCCACCCACTTATATAATTCACATTATTATAAATATACTCCGTAGATGCCTTAAGATCTAGAGAATGGTGTAGTCGTTTCAAATGATTTCGTCGAATTTGGAGATGTTACTCAAGAACTCTGTCTGTGTGATTTTACAAAAGTCAAATTTAACATTTATATTATTCCCGTTGTTCATCAGCGTCTAGTAATTGCTATCATGTGTATTAATTGCACCCGCAATACAGTGAATTATACGGGAATTGGTTTTAATGATGTTTAATTTATATGAGATGTTTATCAATATGATATATATTTATACAGGATTTAATAAAAAAAAAAATACAACCGAAGTGCAATTCTTACAGTAAAATTGAGTTCTACGCGAATTCTTTAATGTTCTCAAATGATATGTCTTTACATACACCCAAGAATGATTCAACACGCGTCTCGAGAAGAAAAAAAAAAGAGACAAAGTATCGAGATATTTCTTCGAAATTCTCTTAGGTAGAGATAAATCTTGTAGACCGAAAGTCGCGCAGCTACGTATCATAGTACATCATAAATGTATGAGAAATATACAATAAAGAAGGGGTAACGAAATTCTCACTCGCAGGAAAAATCTCATTATACCATATGTATCAAGAAGCCTTCGTGATAAATGCCGATGTTCAAAGTTTTAAATTATCCGCGCGTATATTTACAGTTACATTAATGTTTATTATACTGTGTAGTTATATGTTAAGTTGCTTTTATTAAATTTTTCTATCATCATCCAGCAGAATTCCTTCCTTATGCGATTTCTACCGAAACTTCCGCGTCGAATCTCGCCGAGACAGACTGTTCGTGCAACGAAGTCAGAAGTACAAATACAATTTTCCTAGTTTCTAGCGTATAAAACGCACAAAGACAAATCAGCGACATGCGTAGCGATGTTACATAGGAATAAGTTAAAATTGCCAAGATCGGATTATTCCAAGAGATCGACAGATCAGATCAGATGTTAAGATATATCTGCATTACTTATGAGAGAACTAAGCATCAATAAGTAATTCCTTCAGGTACATATTATTGAAACAAATCGTATATAAGTTATTTATTAAGCTTAATATGAGTTAAACTATACAGATCTGAAGAGAATAATAAAGCGGCAATATATCTCCCATAGTGAATGTAATAAATATACATATTCATACTAAATTCGACGTTCACAGCATCACCATCGATTTTCTTCATCGCAATCGTCCATCAACTCTTATTAAAAAAGAAAAGAAATAAGCGTCCCCCATCAAAGTATCCGCATCAAATTGTGCGAACTTTTATTCTCAGTGTGCTCACTCTCGTGTGATAAAAGTTATAAATATTTCGTGATGTCATTTTATACTTCAGCCCGCGTGCTTCTATCTAATAAAAGTTCAATTTAAAATTACAACAGCCGGTATAGTAAATATAAAGCCTTAATTTTTACGTCCTGAATCTTAATCAAATTCTACCTCTTCTAACTCACGACCTTCACGGTTTAGTTCATCAATGACGATCGCATCGTTCGAATATAAATGGCGTGCAAATTTCTAAAGAGACAACCTCGCATTCGCACTCGAGCAAGTTGTTTGAATAAATTGAAATCGTGCTGTTTAAATATCGTCGAACAACCCTCGAGGCGGAGGGCCCACGCGACTCGTACTCGTGGAGAACGCCCTGGCGTTGTTCACGTGCGGCTCGTACGAGTCGTCGCCTTGATTCTCCCCGTCGTAGCGATTGTTCGCGCCGTAACCATCTCCGCCGAATGTCATGCCGATATAATATTCCGCGGGATCGAAATCGTGCAGCAAACCTGCTCTCGCCGACTCGATCGATTCGTCTCGCTTCAACGGTCGCACTAGAAGAATTATTACGTATATCGGTGTTACTTATTTACGAGCATAAAATCTATATCTCTGTACTATTCATTTTTCACTGCACGTACCGGTGTCCGTACTTTGGCGAGACGTCCTGTAACGTGACGTGCCCACTGAGATATTGAATCTTTCTTGCATTTCACGCCGCCTATACATGGAATCTTCCGCTCTTTGACGTTTACGTCTCTCTGTAATAACGAGGAAATACCGGCCGGATGAGCATCGAATTGTCTCTCTCTCTCTCTCTCTCTCTCTCTCTCTCTCTCTCTCTCTTTTATTTATTTATTCATATAATCTAATTCCTTTCTTCATTCAATATGATATCAAATATCGACACTTGCAAGCTAAATTGTCAAGGCTCTTCATGCTGTAATTTGAAAACATCATGATGAACGTAACAACATACTCCCCGTACCTCGTTTTATGAGTTCCCTTCCTTCCTCCACGAGGTCCGTCGTAAACTCGTCGTCGTCGAGAAATTGCTGAAAGCCCAGCATGGAGAGCAATCTACTGCCTATACTGAAGTAAGTCGCCAGACAGAAGGCCAGAATTGCCATGGGAAAGTACACGTTAAATCCGTCAGAAATGATGGGAATGACATCCATGTGACCCATCACCTGGAAGAGAAGAAAATGATGAATAAAACGAGCGGGCGCTTAGAGAAGTTACGCGTTACCCTGAAGTAACGTAGGTTACCTGCGTGTAATGCGTCTCCAGGATATGAGTCTTAATAATGTGCGAGTCCATGTGTATCAATCCTAGAAAGTTGAGACACATCGGCGGCGTCAAGCGGCACAACATCATACCGCTGAATATCAAGCTGTACTCGTTGGTTTGATGATGAGGCGCCAAATAATAAAGATTCAACACGCGAATTTTCAAGACGGTCGAGTACGCGCAGTAGCAGAGATACGCGATAATCGACATCGATAGCACCTAAGAATAAAATGTACACGTAGTGAACATTAATATATACACTTTACTATATTAATATAATATTAATAACAACTATTAGGGGTATCCATAAGTAATATCGTTTTTTTTTTTTAGATTAAATAAATATCCACTGAGGTTTTTTCAGATCGAATAAATATCCACTATGAGGTTTTGAATCCCAATGAAACCATAACTGCTGAATATTATTGAACATCGCTTTGCTTCAAAAATGCCTATTAGTAAAATAAAAATAAAATAAAATTTTGTAAAAGTATCAAAAAGCGACATTACTTATGGGTACCCCTGATATGTTGATAACAACATTAATATATACGTAATGTAAGATACAGGATCTTCTACCTCTATCGTAAAGTAATCGTAGTTTCTTTTCGCTAAATTCAGAAATTGAGCAAATAACGACAGCACGGGCGACTTGTTGAAGAACGTTACTTCCGACCATACAACAGCCACTGACAAACACCCAGCGCAAATGGCAGATATCTTTAGGACGTAATTCTTCACGATGCATTTCCAGTACCATTCTGAAATTAAAAACCCACAGCGTCATAAAGAATTGCACGAGCCGTACAAGAATTTTGTCGAATAATCATGTATAATTGATATAATATCAAGGCTGCCATCCATATCACCGGCACAAAAAAAAAAAGTGAAATAGTGACTGATTCTTAGCAGAATAGGTGATAAAAATTAATCTCTTAGACATCAAAATAGTGACCACTAAAATAACCATCAAAAGTGACATTCTTTGTCAAATTTTGAAAGTAACTAAGGCCATATGAGCAAAAGTAATATTTATTTTGCTTACTTTTCCAAGTTTATCTTTAGATAATTTAATGTATAGCGAGTTCTTTTCATAGCATGATTTGAAAGTTCGTAACAAGCAAAAATATACACGCCTATATTTTACAAATTTAACAATAACTTAGGAAAAAAAGTGATTATAGCGACCCCATTTTGGACGATAGTGAATTATTTAGTGACTTGTCGAGAAAAAATGATAAAAAATGATTTATGTGACTGAATGGCATCACTGTAGTGTTAATAGCAAGATAAAATGTATAAAAAGGGATTTTATCACATTACTCACCGATAGCAGGATTATAGATAATGCGAAATGGAAGCGAGCGATGCGTGGGAAATGCTTGCTTAAATCTCCTATCGTGACTCACTTGATTTTTCGCTACATCTTCTAAATCGAAGATCTTGTCTACTAGAATACCCCATTGAGTTTCTATGCGTTGCAAAGTTTGCAGCGCTTTTATAGTCTAAAGCAGAGATAAAGCAATAAGTGGAGATAGAAGTGTGTCGTAATATATTCGAGAGAGAGGAAGACAGAGAGAGAGAGAGAGAGAGAAAGAGAGAGAGATTCGTTTGTAACGAACTTGTCTGTGCAATCGAATCAAAGACTTCTCGGTGGGTGTGTCCGTCGGAGTATCGTCAGGCAGTTGTCTCCTGTTCATTCTATCCTTCAATTCTGCGGGTATCTTTTGGAAAATCGTCTCCAAGTTGCAGTGAAATGGATGACCAGGTCCGATGGATATCGTTGCAATTTGTAGCGACTAAATGGCATTTTGTCTATTAATGAGCTTGTAGAATTCTCACTCTGATATAAGCAATACGCCACAAGGAGCGTTACTTCATACCTCGAGTATATCATCCACTGTCTCCTCGGCTTCGCACTTATCCAAGCTCAGTTTTGCCACCTTAAAGTAACTGTAATTCAAGGTGTATCCAGGCTTGCTGGCATTCCATAGCCCTCGAGGCACCTCGACAAGTGCATAGCCGAGCAATAAGACCAATAAAAATAAGCCCCATGTATTGGACGCGGATGATGCTATAACTTTCAATTTTTGCCTGCAAAGCAATAAACAAAACTCTTAGCCACACATACTTGTGTCAACATCTTATGTAAGCACTCTCTATATCTTTATGCCACAATATAAATGTTATCCTTGTTTTAATATTCTTATTATGACTTGATATAGCTTACCCATCAAAATCTAGACCAGGCTTCAATGCGATATATATCAAAAGTATGCCGCATATGAACAAATAACTGCCGTAGTATATGGCGTTATCTATCAAAGCAGATTTCAGTTTCCCACGTACGGTGAAGTCCCCGGCTTTTATGTAAGACTGCATCAATGGGAGTATCAACCACGTCAGACATTGCGATGTCCAATAAACTATCCTCCACAAATTAGGAAATACATTTTCTGGTACATTTGGCCAAGGCTCCTTACAAGTAGCAAACGGTGCAGATGTATTACTAAGGTTTTTAGTACTGTTATGTATATTCTGCTCTACACACTGTCTGAATACAGTCTGCAAGAAAAATTATTGTAACTTATTTTAATTTTTTCTTTTGTATTTTACAAAGAAAGCTTTTGTAATGTACTTCAAGGTAAATTCAGTATGTTAAATTAATTCAGATACAGCTGTGTAATTACCGAAGAGACATCCAAAGGTAGTATGAAGATTATTAATAGAGAGAAGTACCAAGCTATCAATACAGAGACAGTGACTATGATGTGATGCCGGAACACATTTCCATACTTGAAGAGTAAAGTTCCAGCCAACAGGAACGCCACTATGATCTCCGTCAAGAATACACCGAGAACCATCTTGTCTTTTTTATCTCGATACTAACAGTGGTACTTTTAATGCATCTTATCACTTCCAAACTGTTATCAGTTAATGCACATAAATATTTATGCATTCAAGTCCGAACTAGCTTCTGCTTCTTGCGTTTCTCTGACTTTAATCTCAGCTTCCCTCTGCATTTTCTCCAACTTCTCCAGGGTCACCGATTTCAACGGGATCAATTTAGGTTTGCAGAGTATATAATTCAGTGTATCCTCCTGATATAACAGACCTTGCCTTGGTAGGACAATGTCGCACTTTTCCACCTGACTATCCTTAGATTCTGACATTTTCGTTCAATCTGCTACGTGCCAGTGAGTCAATAGCAACCCCATTGTGACATCTGAAAAAAACATATCGCGCAGTTACGAGATCAATCGTAAACGAAATCCATTCTAAAGACAATCGAACGAAAATTAAATGCTTTAAGCTTTATTTCAAGACACTAATGTGATTCACCGAAGCAATTTTCCAGCTGGTATAAATGATCGAGACGTTAATGGACTGGCATATTTAACCGTACATCAGACTATACTCGTTCGGACTGCAACAACAGTCGGGAACAATGCAATTTGAGTTATCTGAGAAATCAACATCTTTGCAAATTTAATCCGACGCAATTGATAAAATACAGCAATTGTCGCTCGTTGAAGGAATTAATCTTGTTTCGCTTCGGAGCTCTTATTTCGTCGAATAACCCGGGAATTATGTCGTTATACCGCAATCTCGTCACGATAAAACACGACACGCACGTTACGAACGGTTACAGCTGCTTGCAGTCCGGACAAACTCATGGAATCGCTGACTGGACCCTCGTAGAACCGTGGATCGCCATAGACTGCTGTCAAAAATGCTGCCATATTGGACGTCGCGACTCAACGTTGCGACTTTCCGAACTAACTGCGGCACCGACGATAGCGTTTGTAGGTAAATGATTTTCTAATCTATCGTCGCACATATCGTGATGACGTTCATTTTATTATTTTTTTGTATTAAAGATACATACATGGATATGTACCGTTAGAAACAAGGCCTATTTAGCTAGAAGATTGCACATTAATTAAAGTTAATCCAGATCACAATAATGATATATAATATGTTACATATTCTTCTTTTTTCTGTGTTTGAGATGATACAAGAGTAAAGAAAAATGAACGTGTCAAAGATAAGCAGATCATAATCAGAACGGAAAATATATCGCAACGTAGTTGAACGCCTTAACATTAATATTTAGATGTTCAAACGCTAAAAGTATCGTATATTAAACCAAATAAATATTAAACTAATATAAATTAAACTGAATGAGTACGGGATATGGGAAGTTGCTACAGTTTTAAAAGCTCGGAAAAGGTCCGATTTTTTTTCAATTTTTCCACAGATTTTTTCAGTTTCTTCTCGAGGAAAAATTGAAAAGCAGTTTTTTTTTACTGTAGAACCTATTATAATTTTATCAACGTTATGACAATTCCATCAAAGAAAAGGAATAAATATATTGGATTATATTGTAGTTTGTTGTTTTTTTTATGTTCTTCCTTTATTTACTCCCTTTTTTCTTCTCTTCCTTATCGCGATGATTGTAAAATGACTTAATGTGACTTGATAGAAATTTTAAAAATTGTCCAAAATTGTCCACAATTGTACACCGATAAATCTAAAATGTATAAATGGCATATCTCTCTCTCTCTCTCTCTATCTATCTATCTTTCTCTCTCTCCCTTCTACAATTAATCATATTTATCATAATAAATCATAGAATTATCCAACTCTCAGTGACCATTGTGATGGCAGCTTGCCGACACAATTATTGGTAGAAGCAACAATATGCAAGGTTAAAATTACCTATACTGGAAACTGAATAAAGATATACCGATCGATTTTATAAAATTACCGATCGAATTTAGGATACCTTATCATCTGAGGCAGCCAAAGTGTATTCGACGGAGCAAGAAGGAAGGGATTCCCTCGCAATTTCTTCCAAAAGTTTCCTCCTCTGATTAGAGAATCTCGAGCAGATTCTGAAATCTGTGATCAGAGGCGTTTTTCCTCTGAGCAAGGACTGACGAGGACAGTTTGAAGAAGCTTCGCTGTGGGTGCGTTCCACTTAACGTTCGCAAGTATCATTCTATCTTTGTTTCTCTTGAATGTTAAACAAAGGCAGAACGATGCTCGCAATCGTTGCGAGCGTTAAGTGGAGTCTGCCTTATACCCGAATAAATTTGCTTTTATACCGAGAGAAACTGCCTCCTCTCAATCGCACGCCATGGCTCTCGGACAGCCAGCGCCATCTGCCGTCGGCGGGAGGTGGCGGCGGTCGGAACGATCTTGAATCTCTCGCCCGCCACCACCGCCGTCACCCGCCGCTACTACCGTAGTCGTCGTATTCGTGGTCGCTGCTCTGCGCCGCCGCATCCCTTCGTAAGCCGCGATCGGCCGCGGTTCAAAACCTGTCGGTCTGCATTCCAGTGTCCCGGTGAACGTCAAGCGAGTCGTCGTCTGGTGTCGTCGCCGTCGTCGTCGTCGCCATCCCTACGTGCGATCGTTCGTACGTTCGTAACTGATCAGAGTCGCGTCGCGGCGCGTTTAACGAAACGTGAGCGAACATGAAGTGGCGAGACGAGATGTGAGAGAGAGAGAGAGAGAGAGAGAAGCGGCTGAGAAAAGCCGGGGCCCCCTAAAGCGGACCACAAAGGACACACGGCCCAGCGAAGCAGCGCCGCGCCGGTTGCGCACCTCGCTAAGATTCTCTTCTCGCTTCGGAGCGAGAAGCGACGTATTGGCCGCGAACGAGAGATAATCGCGTGCAACGGGACGACTTTCTCGGCGTCGTCGGCTTGGTCGCATGACCGCCAGAGCGAAAAAAAAAGGGTAAGCAAGAGCGGGCGAGCGAGCGAGCGAGCGCGCACCTGGCATGTGTGTGCGGAATGATCTCGGCGAATCGATCGGCGCGATCGAGATCACGCCTGCATACCAGCAGCAGCGGCGCATACCTTGTCGCTTCCTCCTTCGTCTGGGATCTTCTCGCGTGACGATCGTCATCCGATCGGATGATCTGAGTTGGGGAAAAGATCGGGCCAGCCGGCGGTTCGTGCGAAAATGGTCGTTCGTGAAAAGAAGTCAGCGGATATCGACGTTTGGTCGCATTATAGCATACCTTCGGATGATCTCTGTCTATGTTTCCCGTGGTTGTGAGCTCGTGTTTTACTCAGGGCTACGGGAGAGAACGGGGGTGCAGGAAGTGCAGGTAGGAAGTGTGTGTGTGAAATAAGAGATCTGACGAGACAAGTGTATTCGGACGTCGAAGGGGTGAGAGAGATAGGAACAGGAGCGGAGGAGTGCAGGAAGAGAATAGGTAGCTAGGGAGGACTTCTTCGTTTTTCGCATTGCATTCGGCGCCCGAAATTCCGAAACGACCTTTTCCTGATCCTTACCTGTTTACGGTAGCCGTGATTCTTGCACGCGAGTGAAACGAATAACAGGTATGGACGCAAAACTTTTCCAGATTCATCTTCAGTTCTCGTCCAATGTTTTACAACTGCAATTCTTTAATTTATTTCTTTATCATATATATATATATGTAATTTTTAGTATAAAATCTGCATATATATTCATAGATACATATTTTCTTCACGAGCTTTCCTTCCATAAATAAATACTTTCATAAATATTTTCTCGCACATTATCCTTCGGGCAAAGCTTTGAACTTAATAAGATTAAAAGAAATTAAAAGAATATGTAAAATAGAAAAATCGAAACTAAAGATTCGGGCAATTTGTCTGAATCTGCTGCTCCAACTCGGCTGCTGAAAATGTTTCCAAAATATTCTCACCTATCAAATCCTCCGGTGCTTTAATAAACGTAAAAAAGTCGACGTTCGATGTTCCTCGCGATTATCATGTATCATCCCCGCCGAGTGCATTCCCACGCGCTTCTCGCTCCGAAATTCCCCTCCTTCCAGAATCCTCCTCGGTTATGACGACGCGAAGCGCGTCCTTGTCGTAGCAATCGCGCTCTTCGGCGATCCCATAAACGCACCGCGAAACGGTCCTTCGTTGGAATACTAATGACACCGGACAGTCATTTATGGCACGGCCGCGCATTCCGCGTAGAACAGGAAGAGTCCGTCCACTCTCGTATCTATCGGCGGGGATCGGAGTATTTTCGGCGTAAGGTTCTTCCCTCAAGTGCACGATCCCCCGAAAGTTCTCCGCTGCGTGCGATGCGAATTAAGTGACGACGACGGCACGAGCCTCTCAGACCTGCATCTTCCCTCGCATCTATTACGCAAAATCGGCAAACCGAAAGGATCAAGCTCGAGCTAAAAATATTCCGCGCGCAGACAAGTCGATCGACCTCACTCGGGGTATTTTACTCGAGACTAGGAATCGGTGCACTAATTATGTAACATTCCGTTAGACATCCGCTAATTCCCGGCATTACACACCCACCAGGATTCCGCGTGCGTTTCCCCTCCGTAATGGCACGATTAAAATCGCGCGCGCGAAAATTAAGTCGTCGCAGAGAAAAAGATTTCTTTGAATTTTATATACGTATATATATATATATTTTTTTTTTATTTACTTTTTTATTTGTTTGACTTAAGTTTTTTTAGTGTAAATAATATAATATTAAATATATCATTTTGTTCGAATAAAAATGTTTCACCAGAGTAAACCATATTACTCGATAGAACAAACAGTATTATTTAGAGGAAATAATATTTGGTTTTTAATAAGAAAAAAATTACTTCATTTTATATTAAATATTGTCCCCCGCTGTGAAACGCAAAAGTTCTTTAATATTTTTTTACATAGTATTAGAGTAGAGATTAGTCGATCGTAACTATCAGCTTGCTCACTGAGAAAAAAAGTTGTTGGATCTATAGAATCGGCGGTCACCCTCGTTCAAAACAATGTTACATCCATTGAACAATTACGCATTGGTGCGCAACAATATGTTGCTGACTAAATTGCAATCTTCGAATTGTCTGACAACTCATTGCAAGAATTATATAATTTATTCGATGGACTAAACCGTTGCGCTTGCAAGAAAATTTTCATTTGAACGAAATTTCGTTGATTCAATTACTTTTTTGCTCAGTGTAGTACCTTACCGACTATTAACGCTGTTTTTTTCTCTCTCTAACATAGTGTTACTTTTTTCAAATAATCTATTGTTTATGTGATATACCATTGTGATATTTCGATAAAAATACCCAAGAAACATGACATTTGATGCTGAGAAATCTATTGTTTGTGAAATCGCGAATAATCCCGTTTGTTGAATCAAACATTCGTTTGTTCGCTTCGTTTTGAAGGACAATTTTGTTTCGATCAGAAAAATGTCATTAAATCCAGATCAATGTCGGGAAATCTTTTTCTCTGTGCACGAGAGAGAGATAGAGAGAGCAGATTAGGCCCCGCAGGATTAATTATTAAGTGCCGCGGGAGTAACGCACATTGGTCGCGGCGGCGGGGCGACCAATGCCTTTTGACAACCACTGCTTTGGAATTTGGCTTCTTTATTTTTACGAGAGGTAACATCGGCAAACCAGCCTCTCTTTGCGGACCTTCTCACCTGTTACATACCACCGCCATTTATGCTACCATTTAACCAGAAGTTAAAAGTCCCCTTGTACATAAAACGGCGCGCGCGGGTAGCTGTCGCGCCGCGCGATATACTCGCCGCGTTCCACCGCACTCGAATTGTCTCNCCCCCCCCTTCTTTCTTCCGTCCTCCTCTCTCCCGTCTACTGCTGCTCTTCGAATTCGTTCGCTCGGAACGATTAATTTGAGACCGAGAGAGAAATGCTCGTCTAAGATTCTCAGTTGAAAATACTTGGTATGTTCGTTATAGTCGCTCTGCACTGCTGAACTGGGTGCGATAAGTTGAAGTGAAAAGACATATATACTTGTCTCGCTTCAACTTATCGCACTAGTTCAGCGGTGCAGCAATAAAGAACAGACCAATTGTCATCACTCTGTTCTGCATCTCCTGCATCTTGACTCCTTCGCTTTACCCTCAAGGTTTTTTTTCTTTCGTTCATCGAAGTGTATGCGTACATACTTACGTGGCGTGTAACAAATCAAATATACGCGCGGCTAATTGCGACAAAAAGTATGCGCAATACCCAGCGAAGCTTTCGAGCAATCATTCAATAGAAACCATACAGTGCGCTGTATTTAATATATTCAGGTACACAGAGAAAAAGATTTCTTTAGATTTAGATTTAGTATTTCTATTTACCTGACTAAACTTTGTTTCACAGAAATGACATATGAAATATTATTTGTTTGAGTAAAAGTTTTTATTGTCTCATTCGAAAAAACTCTATTATTTAACAGAAAGAACGCTATTGTATGAAGTAATATCTTTTAACCAAATAAAATATCCAATGCCTGTATGTTTGGTTACAATAAATATGTAAAATGAAGCAAATAATTTCTTTATAAGAAAATTATCTTTCAAACAAATTTTTTATTTGAGATAAAGATTTTATTTAAGATAAAGATATATTCGTTGAAAAGTTTTTATTTAAGATAAAGATATATTCGTTGAAAAGTCTAACAATCATATTTATTAATCGAAACATTAATTTCTTTGGAGCGTGCCAGTGATGAAATTTGTTTGGGTGCAATAAAATTTATTAAATCTGAAGATATCTTTTTCTCAGTGTATAATATTGTCCCGTGATAATATTATCGGGAAAGTAATGCGACACGAAGTAACTTGGAAAATCTATGCCGAATGTTTATCAATACGATTTATCATATGTAACTTTGACACTATAACAAGAGAATATTAATCGAACTTACACAATGTTTAGAANTAATCTTGTTCTACTTCTTACAAAAATTATGATATCAAGAGGATACGCCAAGTGCAAATGATAAATCATTAATGTTTCATTTTTCAGTTTTATAAACACAAGTTGTTTTAGCTACATAAAAATTTGTAGGCAAAAATGTTGAGAAATATATTTTATAAAAATAATATAATTAGTAATAGTAATAGTAACAGAATTAGAGATATATATATGAATATATCATATATCATCTCAATAGATGCACACACATATGTACATGTATGTGCATCTATTCCACTAAAGAAATGATCGTGATTTTTCCATATGCTTTGTACTTCTCGCATCTTTATGTACTAATTATCAGATTATTCAAATTATTAAGATTATTTAATCGTTCTATTTTTAAAAGAAGAGTCACAGAAAGAAAGAAATGTAATGCGTACAGTATTGCCAAATCTTCACAGATTAGCTGTGATATATTTCAACCGTTATCAGAAATTGTGTACTTTACATATCAATTTCTGGAAAACTATATGGTCAATGATCTTGTTATCTTTTTTATATTTCTACAGTCTCTTTTATCATTTTCTCATTTTTTTTAAACAGTAATAATATATTCAATTTATTTATTCGATCCGACTCAACAACATTCTACTAATTGATACCAGTACTAATTATAGTTCACATTACGTACAGGGAAGATCGGGGATAATGTTGGCACACTTTTTACATTTTATTTGTTTTATTCTTTCCTACATAGTATTTTGTGGCTATCTTTAGTATAATTCGATATATATTGTTGAAAAGTTTGTTAAAATATAATCAACTAAATATATTTTCTAACTGCGATAAGAATTAACATGAAATTCTACGTTTATCAATAATGTAAATGAATTTACGAGATTGTGCGATTTTACTTTCATAGCTAAAAAATGCAAAAAAATTCAACACTATCATTTCATATAACTATTGCATATAAAAATGAAACGTAACTTGTGTCATATGTGTTGAAGGTAATTTTGCACTTCCCACTTGCTTGATTTTGTAATTTGTTAGAAAATTGTCGAAATATAAGCGACGTGTCAACTTATTTCTATAGCCAATTAGCCCCGGTTTCTCCTACTATAGATTTTAATATTGGCAATGATTAGGGGAATATTGTTGTTTTAATCTTTCTGCTCAGCGTTACATAAAGTGATAATTTCGACTTCAATCATTTCAAATTCGGTATGATCAATCTTTCTCTAATTCTGCATGTATGTGGATCGTGTTTCGATTAATATGCTGTCAAAGTGTGAAAGAATTCCTAAAAAATAAATAAATGTACGGAACAACTTATCTTAAATATGTTAACTGTTATTTATATTAATTTATATTTATTTATATATTCATTATTTATATATATTTATATATATTTATATATTTTATACATATTATATATTATATATGCTTATGTATATTTATTTATATACATATACAATATTATTATTTATACATATTTATATATATTTATATTAACATAGGACTTGGAAATTTTTGAATATTCTGTGGTCCGATTTGCAAGCGTGGTTCACGTGTATTTCGTCGTCGGGGCAGGACGTCGATTAGTGTGAATGGATATACCAACGCGCGATATATACCAGCGCGTTAGCTCAACGTAAAAGAATCACCGTCGCTCTTCTCGCGATATGCGCGAGTATGGCTTTCTGACATGAGCCGCTCGCGTCGTAAGCGGCACGTGGGTGTAAAACGGTTCGCGCAATAAACAGCAGCTTTCGACGCCGTATATGGATATTTTCTAGATATCCACGCGCGTCACCCAAGCCCGGCCACCGGCTCGCTTTCCACATCATTGCCCGTATCCTCGGGAAACGCTCGTTTATGCGATTTATTGCAAATCACTTGAAATTTGCTTTCACTCACGCCTGGCTGCAGTTACTCTCTTCCTGTTTCACTTCTAAGGCATGAACGTACGTAGCGTGGCCAAAAAAGTTTTGATGTGGGAATGATTGTTGTTTTTCATCTTCTTTTCCTTTTTGATACTTGATACTTCATTTAATAAAGGAAAACTAACCAAAATTTACACAGATATGGAAAATCAACGTATCCATATTTCTCGGCTGTAAAGTACTAAATGTTGGATAGTATATGAACTTCGTCTACTTTGTACTGTCAGTCACAAAAAGTTACATTTTTTTTTTTTAATTTTGGAACATGTCACGTATTCAATAGGAAAATTTGTTTTTCCAGTAATTCTCAGGAGATACATTTTCCTATTGAATACGAGATGCGTTGAGAAACTCATCACGAAAAAATGTGGTGTGTCCTTTTTCTGACTGATCGTTTTTTCCTAAGACGGAAACGTGAAAAGTAAACATTTCCAAATATTTTCAGTAAAAAAATTTTCACTTTTCACGAATTCATATTAGAGGACAAGATTCACGATTTCTTGGGAGTTCGATCATGAATCTCTTCTTTAGTAATTTATTTGACAATTCTGTTTTAATGTGAGTTTTTAACTTTTTAAATCATTTTGTGTTTTGTGCCAATCTCGATCATTTATTACTGAACCACGCAAGAAAAGTTCGAATTAGGTTATTCTATGAACCGAGATATTTGAGTTTGTTGATTTTTCAATCGACATATTTGAACTTTGCCATGAAGTATCATTCAAGTATATTCACAGAATACAATTTAAGCTATTGGTGACTATTAGTGATGTTCACCTGTTTTTCTTGTTTGTTTAATGCCCGCCTATACCGTCATGGTTTAAATCTAGTCAACTTAATTAATGAAATTGGTCAGTCGCATTGATAATTAACTGAAGTGAACAATGCGATTGGTCAATTTCGTTCAGTTAATCGTCGATTAAATTAAATTAATCGTCGATTAAATTAAATTAAATTTAAACCATAATAGTAGAAACGAGCATAAGATAATCGGAAAGAAAAGTTAAGGGATTCCTTTCCATATAATGAAAGAGCAATCGTAAAATTTTTTAAATAAAACAAATATACAGGATTAAAGATAACATGGAAGAACATATATAACAAATGTATAGAATAATCTAATTTCAGTGCTTTTATTTTATTTTTTGGTTAATTTCCTATAGACATTATAGGTATGTAAATTTTACGGCTAATTTTTCATTCAATGCTCAAAAATTTAAAAAAATAGTTATTTGCAAAAAAATGTAACAATTCTCACAAGACTATGATATCTTGGTAAAAAAGAGTTTCTAGTTTGCGTCCATTCACATAAATTTTAAATTTGCGTAATTTTATTACGTCGATAGTTGGTGCTGTTTTTCTACTTAATACTTGATATTTCTTTATAACAGTTTAAACATGTGAAATTTACAAGATATAGTCGAAAATATTTGACAGTTCCGTTACACAACGTGTCACTTTATATACAAAATTTATGATTATATATATGTATAGCTATATTAATTAACATTTGTGATTATATATATATATATATATAATCGATTCGATATATATATAATTTATATTCGATATATATATATATATATATCGAATCAACATGTGTGTATGTGTGCGTGCGTGCGTGCGCGTGCAATTACATTATGATAGGCAACCGTTGCCATTCCGTCCCTAAACTTTAGGGCGAAAAATGCGTTCTATTTTCATGTGAACTCAGCGGTTCTAAACTTAAACATGCTTGGCCGGTATTAATTTTAGTGGGTCCTTGCCGGCACTCTGAGTCGCGTATTTGCTTTCTCGCAAACGAGACCGGAAAAAAGGAATAGCACGCAAAATGCCTCGTTAACGTAATGCACAACCGTTCTTCATGCTTGCAGAATGTGTCAAGATGACATCTATCTCCTCTTCTTGCGGCGTTATCATAGTCCTACTCTATAGTCTGATCACTTGTACACATGGTAAGTTTTCGAGGTTGAGCAGCTTGAAGTTGCTCTTCGAAAATCTGCTTTCTTACAAAATTTTTATTCATACAAATACTGCGAATATTATATAGAGAGTGAGACATTCTAAATTTCTTGGAGTGGAATTTCACTCGAAAAATTGAGCGACGGTCGAGTTTATTCAAATTCTAAGTAAAAGTAACTTTTCACTCGTGCAAAGTGAATTCTCGCTCTGAATCGTCGAGTAAATATTTTCACTCGAAACTGAAGAACGCATCTGATGTATCCCGCACTGTCACGGTCGAGCAAATTCACTTTGATCGATTGAAATATCCACCCGTTTGGAATCAGAAAGTCCACTTAGCTTGAATGAAACATGCATCATGCTTGAGTGAAATCTTACGATTTCGGGTGGCAGTGTTTTCACTATCATTTTGAGTGAAAAAAATATCGCCTTTTTTCACTTGTTTCGAGTGAGATTCCGCTCTTAGAAGTTCGAAGAGTAATAAGAAGTACGTACGTTATTCTGACATTCGCAGGGGAGAAAGACGATGGTATGTCGTTCACCCGGCACCCACAGCCGCTGGCCGCTCCGTTACATGACGATGTAAATTTCGAGTGCAGTCTCAATCTGCCCGCGGATAATTTCGCGTGGCAGCACAAGCCGCTGGGTGCACGCAAATGGATACGGCAGCCGCATCCCAGCGGTGGCGGGAAGACGTCGCGACACGTTGTCAATTTCGACGATGCGTCGAAAGCCGGCGACTACCGCTGCGTCGCATTTTTCGGTAAGCCTCCTCGGTGAGAGAATTTCACCTATATAGTGCGGACTAGCTCCACCTACAATACCTGTCTATGTTGTATACGCACTTTCATTCTTTTTTATATTTCATTGACTTCCGAGGACCAGCTTTATAACACGGCTCATCTATCGATCGAATTATGTTAAGGAGCCATTATTCTATAAACATTTTTTTCATGACGTCACTTCACTCAACTGGCTGTTACAATGACAAGTATGAACTAGTATGAGCTGCTGATAATAACGGTAACAGACGTGAGTTTTGAATGTGTGTCAATTGAAATATAGTTTTACTTTCGTTTATTTGTGACTTGAAACTTCAAATTCCTTGCGCGCTAACGGAAAAATAGATTTTTGCGTGAAAAATATTATTAATATTGTTTGCAAAAATCATGGGTAAAACAAGTGATTTGACACCTCGGAAGGTTGCTGAGGTAAAGGCGCTGATTGAGATTTATTCTAATCAAGTGAAAATCAAATTAGCCGCTTTTCCTTTCCTCCTGTATTCTATTGAAGAATCAAAGTGCGTCTAATAAAATGGCGAGGAATTGCATGTATTGATGGTAAATATCATTTGAAAGGACTATCTCGAAAGCTAATACATATAGCGATTTGAAAAGTTGGCGGGCTGATAATGAAAAACAGACCTTTTCCGACTTGCGCAACCGTTGTGTTTTCTGAACGCAGCCAATGTCAAACGAATACCACGAGATTTCTCGGACCTCGGTGATACGCAGGAAGAGTCATCCCGATTTCGACGAAGCGTTTTCGGGAGATTCGCGAGCTACACGCCGGAATTGATACCTCCCGATGCTCCCGCAGGTACTAGCGGTTTTGCGTCCGACGCAGCGAGACTAACGCTCGCGACGATCCAGGAATTCTCCGACAAGAGTGACGTCTTGATCCAGGTGGCGGAGGGTAACACCGTGCCGATCACCTGCCCCATATTGTACTCCGAGCCGGAGGCGATAGTGACGTTCTTCAAGAACAACGTGCTCGTCAGGGACGCGAACGTGGTGAACGGCAGGACGATGGTCATCGGTAACGCCAAGTTGCTGGACAGTGGCTCCTACCACTGCACCGCGGAGAATTACATAACGCAGCAGACGTTCACGAGCGTGCACAGGACGATCCTGATGGTGCACGCGAACGTGAGCCAGCAGGAGCCGTATCTGGTGAAGCAACCGCAGACGGAATACACAGTGGTGCGCGACAGGAACGTCACGTTGGAGTGCTTCGGCGCTGGCTACCCGGTGCCGCGCGTCTCCTGGAACCGGCTGGTCGGCTCCCTGCCGTCCAAGTCGGAGAAATCGTCCACCGGCCTGACGATCGTGCACGTGCAGCCTGCCGATCGCGGGGAGTACGGTTGCATGTGGAGCAACAACGCCGGACAGGTCAGGTCTGTGATAATACTCAGGGTGATGGAGCCGGCGAGGGTGACGAAACAGCCGACAGCGTCAACGACTTCCGAGGGCGGCAAGCTGGAGCTCTCGTGCGGCGTGACCGGCGAGCCGGTGCCGAACGTCGAGTGGCTCATCAACGGGGAAAGCCTGACGTCCATGGCGAATCTCGAGATCAAAGGCACCACCCTCGTCATATCGGAGCTCGAGAAGAAGCATGCCGGGATCGTTCAGTGCGTCGCCAGCAACGAGTACGGCTCGCATTCGTCCGGCTACAATTTGCTGAGGGTCAACCCGAAGCAGCACGTTCTAGGCGGCACCACGGAGTCGAAGCCCACGGACTACGAGCTCTCCGTGTCGAGGCACAAGCACACCAGAGGAGGTGGTAGGCGCAGAAATAAGGAGGGAAAAAGGAAAGGCACAGGTGACTGTTTGATCGTGTTATATCGTGTCGTGCACCTAACGCACCCCGTTTTATCGTTGTCTGCAAACGTTTGCCTAAGATATCGTTTATTAAGTCCTCCAGCACGGATTGCATCGCGTCGAGATTTACACACATATACACATACATACATACATACATATATATATATATATATATACATATATATATATATATTTTTATATATTTATATATATATGGGTGTGTGTGTGTGTGTGTACATATTAAAAGCGAAGGAGAAAAAGATGAAGCGTGGCTTTTTGCGTGGGGGTCCAGGGGGCGGAGCCCCTAGCCAGAGCTCGCAGACCGCCGAAGGCGGCAGCGCGAGCGAAACGGTTGTTTTTGCCACTTTTCCTTCGAACGACGCCTTCCCTCCGCTTACCGCCCACTATAAGCTCAATGGCGTGGCCTTTGGTGGACAATTCTTAACGCTTCACTATCCGCAGATTAATTAATGATTCATATGCAAGTAAGTAGTTGCATATAAGGGGAAAATGGCACGCACCTATACACTATCAGTACTGTCATAAAAAAAATAGAATATCCCTTGATATTTGTATAATTCTTAGCTTATCCCCCCCCCCCTTTTTTTACGTTGGGTCGATATGAAAATTTGTTTCTCTTCTGGATCAGTTCCTCGAATTTCAGAAATCTTGGAATTTCCACGAGCGTCGGAGTTATAGAAGAGATGGCAAGCCATCTCTTCTAAGGCCAAGCCATCGAGCCAAGATGGCATATACTTGATTAATCGATTGTATTTTAGAATAAACAAATGTTATATGTACATTTTGGTTAAAAGTGAAACAAATTTTTTTAATCAGCCCAATGCTTATGTATTAAAAACATAAATCGAGAAAAACAAATTTTCGTCAGGTTACTCTAATCAGATATTTCTTGTAGATTTTTGGCCACGACAAACAATGCCGCTTGCCAAATTGCTCTATCACGTCAGGTTTTCAAGTTGCTTTGAATTTTAGAATGAGAAATCGGCGATTCACAGGAAAAGAAATACTTAATAAATCATTAACCATCAATACAGATAAAAATAAATAAATATTTGATTTATGCATTGATTAACCTTATTAACGAAGAATAAAAAGTCGTCTCACAAATAGTCTCGAAAATATTTGTTAAAGATATAGTGCGTAGAAAAGCAGACATTTTTTCACGTTTAGCAAGATTAGTAAAAACGAATAATCAGATTTTATAGTTCCCGTTCTTTCTTCTTGAAATTTTATTAAAAATGTATGAAAAAAGTACAATTCTAAAGCGGTAACTTATAAAACAAATTTCTCAGAAAAGCTTTATATTAAATTTCAGTATAAAAAAAGTTAACTTTTTTCAAATAAGTCACATTCAAATTTCAACATTTTAAGGGAATGTCGGAATGGCCGCCGAGCTCCGACGAGGAGTGTCAATGAGCAGTGCATTAGCAACGCATTATTTTATGTACACACATTAAAACAAAACGTAGCAGCGCTTTTGATGGTAGACCCCGAAACTATATAATGCTCTTTTTCAGCCTACTACACCGGTAATTTCACACATATTTTCAGGCGAACTCTTTTTCAAACTAGGCTTCTGAGCTTAATTCTAACAGTTGAATAATATTTTACAGCGCAGTTTGTATCACCCCCCCCCCTCCCCCCAGCCTGGTTCTGCTTTGTTCGCATAAGCTGCAGAACTTTTATATGAAGTAAATATTGTCGTTGGCTGACAATTCTAAACGCCGTATTGAAATAAGAATTAGGAAAAAGAAGTACAATTCTCAAACTTTCTTTCATTTTCGGAATAAAGTCGACCAGCTCAGGCTACATTAACATATATTTTGTCATCGTGCAAAAGGATTTATGATTCCATGTAGCCAGAAACGCGAATAGTTTGCTCAAAAAGTTCTTATGAATTCTAGTGAATTCTCGCATTTCGACCTTCCCTTTACATAGCAAAATTTAGCCGATAAATAATAGCGATTTGTTATACATTTTTTTCCAATGAATCGCCAATTTCTGGTCGTAAAATTCAAAAGAACTTTAACAACCTGAAGTGACGGAGCGATTTGGCCAGCGGCAAATTGTTTTGTGACCAAAAATTCATAAGAAATATCTGATTGAAGTAACTTGACAAAAAGTTTTTCGTCAGCCTGTGCAATTAAAATATTTACTTTGTAGCTTTGTCGCTAGCCCTTTCCTTTTTCCCTTGTTTTTTTTATTTTTATTTCATTATTTTATTTTATTTTTATTTTTTTTTAATAAAACCTTAACACATGTGTAACGTATATTCATTCGTGTTTCGTTATATTTGCAGCAGTTCTGGTACCACCAGACACGCCTAATGTCACAAGACTGTCCGATACTTCAGTCATGGTGCGATGGGCGGTGCCGGAGAATAAAGGTTTACCGATCTTGTTTTTCAAAGTACAGTACCGTCCACTCGGCAGAGCGAACGGCAAACAGTCGAAGTGGATGACGGCCAACACCGAGATACCGAATCACGTGCGGTCTTTCGAAGTGTCTGATTTGCAGCCCGACCATACTTATCGATTTAGAATCGCCGCGGTATACTCGAACAATGATAACAAATTGAGCCTAAACTCCGCGCGTTTCCGTCTCAATCGACTGTCCGAGAACAGTAAGATGCCGATACCCGAGTTGACCGATACGAAGGCGTTGGGACCGCACCAGGTCCTGCTGATTTGGGAGAATCCCGACAACTCCGCGAGTATCGATGGATTCTACATATATCATCGGGCCTCCACGTCGGCCGGCGATTACCTGAAGACCACCGTCGAAGGGAAGGACGCCTGTAACATGACCATCTCTCATCTGCAAGCCGACACTACTTACGAGTTCAAGGTTCAGAGCTTCTCCGTGGACGCGGCGTCGGAATTCTCCAAGATACTGCGGCAGAAAACGATGAAGAGCACCGTCGAGCAACCGGTGGAGCAGGTGGTCGCGGAGAACAAAGTAAAGCCCAACGAAACTAACATAAGTGTCAGTGTATACGTTATAATCGCCATAGTATTCGTGGCGTCGGTCTTCGTAGGGATCGTAGTGACGATCATATACAAGAAAGCGAAGTATAAGCAGAGCCGGGGGTCTTCGCAGAACGAAGGTACGCTGATTGCTGCTACGAATATATCAAGCGTGCAAATTAATTCGGTGCCTCTTTTCATGAAATTCAAAGTTTGTTTGCAAAAAGTCAAGCGCACGTTTAATGTTCGAGATAATTTCCATTATTTTCTATTGACTTTACTCCATTTATCGGGCGGCTGATGAATGCCCTCGCGGAAAGAACTTGGCGGTTTTGACTCGATAAAGTCATCGATGCTTTTTCGGACCTCGTTAACTGTTTTCAAATGCGTATGCCACCAGATGCTGAAGCGACCAAAATAGGTGGCACTCTGACTGGGTTAGATCTGGCGAACAAATCGCATGAGGGGAGAATTTCCCAGCCTAATGTTTAGATAAGATCCTTCGTCTCTTTTGCAATATGTGACCGCGCGTTATCGTGCAGCAGAATTACCTGCTTAATTCTAGTGCCAGTAAAAGATTTCTTTACAAGTTTTATGAGTCACAGCACCTTCACCCAAAGCGGAACAAATCATTTTGGTAGACTGAGCAGTATTTTTATTCAACTGGAGTGCAAAAAGGATGCTGTACCTCAGGTGCTTCTTTTCGAACAACATCATAATAACTGTTTTCTGAGGTTATATCGGCAAGGCCGTCAACTATTATAGTACTTCTTAAAGCTTAAGATTGGCCCTTTCAAATCACCATATAGGACGGGAGAAAAATTTAAATTCGAAGAGAGTTACAGGACATTAAATGCAAAGGCACCGAATTAATTTGCACACCTAATAGATTATACAGAACGTGATCTCTTGATAATTATTCATATAATCTCATGATCTCATGATCTCTTTATAATTATTCATATAATCTTGCGAAAACACGAATAACCGTACGCTTTTTTCCTCTCTTTCATTTTTTCGCCACCAGGTAAATCGATAACAAACGGACGAGTAATAAACGGCGGAGTTACAGACTCCAAAATTAATATTACGTCCAATCCGCTCGCCGGTCTCGACACATCCGAAGACATGATACAGCCTAAGGTCAGTATTTGTAAGTAACAGTATCTGCACTTTCGTTTCATCACGGAGGAAAGTAATTGAATCCCCCTTCATTTCTTCTTTCGCTCAACGAGTGACTGAAATTGCGTTAAATGTTGCTTCACAATTTCACGTACAATTGTATGTAATGTGTGTGTGATTGTGTGTGTGTGTGTGTGTGTACAGTCAATCTTCTCGAAACATACAATTGCTCATCTCGGTCATTTACTTTTCTCCCTGAAGTCTCGGTTCGAGGCTTCAGATGAGCGCAGGAAACGTGTCGGTGTGGTCGTCAAAAGCTCTGCCGGCTTAACATTCATTGTGGCTGATGATTCGACGCGATGGATGCAAATGCGACGTTCTTACAAATTCTCGGCGATGTTTGACGACGGGAGGATCCCGTTAGCGCATGAGAACCCGAAAGCACTCCTCCACTCACATCGGCCGGTGTTTATAGTTGGATCTTGTATTCAAGATCTTAAGTTTATCCCGAGATACTCCACGGCCAATGAAATGATGCATACAGCATCTGAAGATAAACTTAAGACGTTCTTAAATTTAAGATCCGACTATGAATGCCTAGAGTTTCTCCCCGCTGGGCCAGCGATTAGAAAATTTCCCATTAAATTAGCCGATCACCTACGTGGGCTGTCGTAGGCCTCGACACGACACTCGACGTTTCCCGCGCTCGTCCCACATAAGGTCGAGGTCCGATCGAGAATCGTCCTGATATTAAAGAAACTAGTCTTTTCTAGTTTTAGCATTGGTCTCTCGCGCGCTGCTCTTTAATTCTACTCGCGCACTCTCTGCACTCTCTCTCTGGAGCTCTCCGCTTTCCTTTTGTTTTTCCGCACACGACACACCGTACGTTACTTATACGCTCTAGATCTGAAAGAAGCGAACGAACACGCATGTTTCTAAACAGAGCGGACAACAGTCGTCGATGGAAATGACGTCGTTTCTAAACGGCCAAAACAACAACAGCAACAGCCATAACAACAGCGACACGGCCGGATCGGACGTGGTGAACACCACGTCACGTAGCGAGCCGTCGTCTCTACTCCAAGGGCAGCTGCCTATCGAGCAACGTTTGTGAATCGTAGCTATGTCTCTGTTTTTAGTAAAACGGTAAGATCGTCGACGACACGCGGACACGTGTCGCCGGACAGGTGTCGGGTTGCTATCACGCTTGGCGGACGCCGCCGGCCCTCCTCTCGGAGGGTCCGCAAACACAAAGACAACACGATTTATCAATTACACGTTATCTTAATTTCGAGATTATGAAAACCTTAACTTATAGACTGTATTTAACGTTCAGTTATCGCAATCGAAGAGAGAGAGACTGTTGCAAGACATTTACATATACAGGGTGTCTTAAATAGTTATGCTCAAACTTATCGCTGTTGTAAACCGGGGCTGGTTCGGCGCGTGCGGGAAACTTTCGCTTGCATGTAAAAAAGAAAGAAATAAATAAACAGAAGAAAAGAAGAAAGAAAAAGACGTGCGATGTTACAGATGTACCGGCGAACTTCTTAAGATTGATACACGCGAGAAGGTCGTTCGAAACGTGTTCCGTTCTTCATCGGCATTCCGTCGGTGTCGGATTTCTCAATCGACAGTCGAAACAGTCCCACTTTACGGCACGGTAATGACGTAGGAAGTAAAGATCCGGATCTGGTTGCATATCTCACGAGATTTATATTCTCTTGGTCTTTCCTTCTCCTTTAATAAGAGAATGTTAGGAATTTTCACGCCCGTTAAGTAGGTACGAAATTCAATAAATGTACCTGCGAAGTGACTAACTTAACTGTGTTACGTATCTACTTAACGGGCAGAAGCTAGTGAGCACTGAACAACACACAAGTTATTTAGTAATTTTGATATAACTTTTTATGCGCGATGCGCGTACTTTTGTACGCGTGCTCTCATTTTATATTAACGTGCAACTTTTCAAGCATTCATTTCGTAATAAGAAGCATTATTCGAAGTACGTAGGATAATACACGCCGTACGTACGATATTGTTAACTATTAAAAAGTCGTTGACGAAAGAGAGAGAGAGAGAGAGAGAGTAACATCATTTTACGATGGTTGCTGGGAATATCTTTTTACAAAGTAACGAGTATAATGTTTGAGTCATATATTGTTAACATTATCGCGTAATAATAATACCTGTTATGACAGTGTTTTCCTAGCTGCTGCAACGAAAATCCAGTAATTTATTGTCATCCATAATGACACGATGCAATATTACGTCATAATATTTCTGACGGTCGCTCTTTATTGTTGTCGGAACTATGGACTAGGACATTTTTTATATTGCTAAGGAAAAATGATAAAATGATATCTTGATCTTGTTATTTTGCGTTAACTGAAAAGAAAAAAAAAAGATAAAAACTGTAAATATCAATGTATACAATTTTTTTAAATAAATTATTTTAGCATTTTGGCTTGTTGAGAAATGTTACAATGTTACGCATTTGTGAATCGATGACAAAGCTAGAGAAAATATACACATTGTATATATACACACACATGTATTAGGATAGTTTTCAAATGACAGGAATGAATATGTGCCTTACATCTTGCCTGAAAGTAATGATTATTTATATAGATTTATAATGATTATTCTGTATATGATACCATTTCACACGCACATGCACATGTGTGCACGTATGCACACACATTTTGTGTACTTAATTTTTATAAAATAAATTATACTGAAAATATAAGAAACCTTGTTGTGTTGAATCCAACGCGTTCGTTTGTATAGTTATATTTGATCAACGTGATAACGAAGAATAGTAATCATCGTAACGTAAAAATTTATACAGATCTGTTGAAATAAGTAATTTCTTAATAAGTTTCTATTTTCTATGATAGATGGCGTTTATGATTTGAAAGTTTTATCTTTTATCTTAATTCTCGTTGTTCCTTTTCTTAGAATAGTCTTAGAATACGGATATCGTAAAGTCTTGCAAATCCAGATGAGTAATTGGATTATAACATTTAGATTCAATAAGCGCGCGGTAACGTATCATTCATTTAATTCTATTTCATGTGACATGTGAGATTTATATTTTCATTAAATTTAATATTTCATAATTTATTAAGGTTATGAAATAATTTCCCCTTGAATTGATGTTGCTTATTTAAATGCAATTTGTGGAGTTAAATCAGGTTTAATTATTTCAAGGTGGTCGATATTGATCAGTTAAAGTAGGACTGATTTCGTTAAAATTTCAACAAGATCACGAATAAAAGAAAGATTTACTACGTTATTATTTCATTACGTGCACTGAGTGATGTTGATAGTCGTACTACTTGAAAGTAAAATTTAACTTATCGCCTACTGTACGCACAATTTTCTAGATTCAAATATTTACAAATTAAACTCCTGGATTTATAATGTTTAAATTTGAACTTCGAAAATTTTCTTAAATTACCCAATAGGAGACGAGCCACATTCAGCGCCATCTGCTGCGCTATGTTGAAATCACTTTCGACATGTGCGCGCACAGTAGAGCGGTTCCGCGCAGCAACGCTACCGGACGAATCGTATCAATACACGAATTTGAAAGTCTCGTAACTGTAACGTAAACTGTTGGGCTCAACGAAAATTACAAGCATATGTCAATCGGACTCGCGAATTTCACGCGACAGTTACGAATCTGCTTCCCCCGCCGAGCCTGTGGCTCGCGAATACGTGTAAATTGCGAGATGCATCGTTCGTACTCGGATTTGCCGACGATTCCGATCCGCTTGTGAACGAGTGTGAGTGAGTCAGCTGTTAACACCGCTGGAAGCCGATGTGACGGTTAAAGCGCCGAGAAACGATACTGCGGCAGGATGTGCGACTTGATAGATTTAAATAGCTCCGGCTTGAAGGATTTGGCGAATTCGGGACTGGCGTCGCCTCTGATCCCCGTGCCGAGGAACGTGGAGGAGTCCTCCGGCGAGCAGGTCGACGCCTCGGTAACCGGGAAGAACGGGAGTCTGGGTAGCAATCCGTTTGATAGCATGCTGCACGAGACCACCGAGTACATCAGAAGGAAAGGCGATCCGTTCGAAGTTGTGTTGCAGCGAGCCTTGAAGTTCGAGAGCAGGAAGGACCACGCGAAGGAGCCGATAGCGGCGCAACCGGTGAATTTCGCCGATGATGATTTTACCTTGATACACGGGAAAGGAATGATGAACAGGACGCTGGATGAATCCTTGATCGAGGACGGTGGGAATTCGATAGACGGGGAGGAAGAGGGAATCACCAGTGTTGTTGCTGGCAACGCCGATGTTACTTGCGATGCGGCGGCGGAAAGTGACAAGCCTGGCCCCGAGCAGAGTAACAAAGTAACGGCCTGCATGGATCCGTATGAATTGGCGATTTTAAATCAATCGGCGATGAACGACACGTTGTTGGAAGCAGAGTTCAAGCACAAAACGGATAGCGAAATGTCGATCTTTCTGGAGAAGAATCCATCGTTCAAGGAATTCATCCTTCCCGCAAGCTCGAACCTCAAATTACGATCGAATCTTCAGCGTTCCTTGTCGCAGGAGGATAGGAAGTCAGAGAAGAGGAAATTGCAGCGCCAGGATAGAAGGTCGCAATTTTCAGCGGATACATCGAGGAAAGCTTCACAAAGCGACAGCACCGCGTCGTCCTTCCTGAACAAAGGTTTCTCGGAGATTGAAGGGAGCCAACAGTCTGTATTTTCAAAGATCTCAACAAACTCGGTGTTTTCTAACTTGTCGGATGTTCCTTTCACGTCAAGATTGAATTCGGTTTCATTATTATCGAATCCATCATCGGTATCGTCAAATGGCGTCATGAACAATGCTTTCATAGATAACAACAGTTTGAGGATGAGTAACGAAAGAATAAGTACAGAAGCTGAGAATTCAATGGAAATAAAATCAGTACAATATGACTTATCTGACTTAACGGAAAGACTGAATAAATTAAAATGCGCCATTGACAGAACAACCAGTACTCTGATTGTAAAGGAAGAGATTGGTAAATCTGACCTCGTGAAAGGGGAGAATAACAAGCAAGCTATCGATGATAGATTAATAGACATTGATGTATTCGTGCCAGAACCGAGTTCCAACGAAGAACAGAATAAAAGCATAAATTCCACTAACTCTTCGGATTCTGTATTCACTGTAAGATTCGTATAATTATTGTACACTGTATTCAATGTTTTAAATATTCTTCTTGGTCAATTTATACTTTGTTACATTCGATATTGCAATAATTGGTTGGTAATTATACAGAATAAATCTTGCTGATGTATTGAGAAGGCAAATTCTAAATAAAATATGCAGACTTTTATGCAAATCTTGCTAATTTAGAAAGAAATATATAAAGAAACATTTAAGCAACTTAGAATTTTAATATATGCTAATGATGAAATTTATTTGCTTATCAATATTTTTGCACCTCTGTTTGAATTTTAATCGGACTTTGATATTATCCAACTAAATATCGGTTGTGTTTCTTCTAAAGGTGTTCCATATTTTGTATAATTACTGATTACTTTTGACTAAGTACTTTTAAGCTATTTTAAAAGACCAAGAGAATTAATTGTTAAAATTAATTGCAGGACAGTAGCAAAATCGATAAGTCAATACTGAACGAAGCTAAGGCATTTGCGAGAACTTTTGAAGAGCTGGCTCTAAAAACAGATTCTGCATGTAAGTATTTTATATTTATTATGTGTAGTCGTAAATGTGTACAATTTTTATGATAAATTTTTATTCGTGTTATTCATTCATTATTCCTTTTTTTCTTCATCAGCTAGCTCATCAGCAGATGACTTAATTTCAAACAATCATCTGTGGATGTCAGATCTTTTACCAGCGTATGAGGATGAAGCTGTGGATAATTTAATTGAATTGCCTATTTCACCGGAAAAAAACTTAAAAGTCGATAGAAGCAACGTTTCGAAGCAATCCACAAATATTGATAGCGCGGTAGAAAATTTTTTGAAGGAGATGGAACCACAATTTGCTGATGATGTTTCTACTGTGAGGCAAACAATGGTAACTACGTTATTAATGGATCTCAAGAAATTGATAAAGGCGGAAAACAATTCGCAAGCGAGCAAATTAATCGATAATCTAGAGAATGTTTTGGGTGTGAAGTATAAAAATAATACGGAATTGTTAGCGAGTTTGAATGCATCCGACAAATCAGAAAAGTTTGGCACATCCGACGATAAATTGGACGATACCAAACAATCGGATGAAGCAAGTAACAAAAGCCAGAAAGAGAATGAAGAAATATCGTCTGTGGATAAAATCTGTAATAATGAAAATTCACTGCCGCATATAAGTCATGAATTAGAAGATGCGACGCAAGTTACAACTGGTCGCAGTTACAACTCATTAACTGGAATTTCATCTTGTAACAATGACAGTGAGAATTGTTTTAATGTCACGGATTCACCTAAAACAGCGTTAAAGACTAGTCACTCGGACGAGAAGTTAGCGGTAGAATTGTTGGTTAATTTGGGGAAATTACTGAGCGGCCAGTCTGAGGATGCCGTGACTTTAAAATTACTCAAAAGCATAGGAAAGGCTTTGAACGTTGTGTCAAATAATTCCAAAATCGACGGCGAATCGCAGATGGATAATGATAACTCGCGCAATATTCGACGAATTTCTTCCGTGGGAACTTCAGTGCCTGAACGTAATACATCTCTGTCCAGCTTAAAAAAAACCTGGCACGAACAAAGCTTCAATTCGAAAGTAAGTGGACTTTGTAACCTTCTTCACGATAATTTTAGTTTTGTCTCTTATGCGTGTTTTCCGTGCAGCCCCTCGAAAACACGAGAAGAAGAAGTGTTCCCACAATTAATTCATCAAATGCAAACACGCCTATAAACTCGAAACGTAAAAGTACATCCGAATTGAAAAATCGAAAGCGTTTCTCGAACAATATTGGACTTCTCAGTACGATTCCAAATAAAAACATTCCAATTTCAGGAGTCTCTAATGCGAAAATCGGTATATTATTTTGTTAGATTATATGCACCGTGATTTAAGTAATAATTTCCTTTAAATAGAAATAATTGAGAGTGTGATTTCAGTGGAGACTACAGAGCTTGATAGCAAGAACGAAAAATCATTAGCGATAATTGATGTCAAAAATAAATTGAAGAAAAAAGTAGGTGCGGTCGGTAACAGGGGTCCTATGAAAGCGGTGCATCCTGTAGGCTCTATGCAAAAAAAAGGTAAGTTCAGTCTGCTAACAGTAATTCTTAGTCTCTAATGTAGTCATTTAGTGAATTAATTTATTATACATTAATTCCAAGTCATTAAGGCTCCGAAGTAGTCGCTGTGACTGTTCTTATTTAATGACGTTAGAAGCGAGAAAACACGTGTTAAAATTGCTTGCGTTACATTTCGTCTAATTTTACAAGTTCTGAATCGATCACAAATGTCATTTTGTGGATATATTTTTCTATTTAAAAATATAACGCAAAAAATCTCCAGAGTCTTAATGATTTATAATCGATTGAGTCGCGAAAATAACTTATAACTTATAATATAATTGCTGAACATTTAGTCTTGATATGTCGATAAATTGTTAATACGTTGTCAATTTATTTATATTTGTGTATTTCAAACAAAACGATGTAGCATCACTTGGAAAACAAACAGCATCGTCTTCTCAAGTCACCACTCCACCTAAGTCTAACACAGCCGCTTCTTTCGGCAGTAAAATAATCAGCAGCACCCCTAATTCGATAACTTCGCCCATACCAGATAGTCAAACCAATGGTTCGTCGAAAATGCAGTTAATGCCCATCAGTAAGAAACGTAACTTCTCTTGCGATATTTCACCGGTGACTACGCAGAAAGGAGACAATCCTAGGAGGTAAGCGAGCAGATAAGACTAATATATGATATACATATATGATGAATTGATATATTTATATTCTCGTGTTATATGTGCATATATATATATAAGGTGTTTAATTTTGAGTGATACAGTCGATTATCTTGAAAATAAAACATTTTTGGGAAAAATATTCCATATAAAAATTGTAGGATTTTAAGTGGTGCAGGAAAAGTATTTAAGGAGAAAAAACTTTATTAAAGTGTTTCGAAAAGCTCTAAAGATCAGCTAAAAGAATATGCGATAAAAAATAGAGATTTCCGTTAAAAAATTTTAAAGTAACTTTTATGTGACCTTACCAATGCTGTTCAAACTCACACTAACATTGCTGTGTAATGCGTCACTTAAAATTCTATAACTTTTATATATTTTTCCCCAGAATTCTATAACTTTATAACATTTTTCCCCGGAATACTTTATTTTCAAGATAATCGACCGTATCAGTTAGAATGAAACTCTGTTTATACAGAGTTCAAACTGTTTTCGATTCCCGTAGTGCAGGTAGAACGAGTGAAACCGAGCAAAATGTTATGCATGCATTTTGCAAAATTCGCAATAGTTAGTGAGGAATTAATTATTTTGTCTGGAGTAATGAACGCATAGGGAAGGGTAGACCGAACACTATATAAAAAGTAATTGCAGGCCAACAGATCAACAGGGGACAAACTTCAATAAGGACATAAAACAGGTTGAGGTGAACAAAAAAGTCCTCTACCATTTTGCAAACAACACGCAAAATTTCGAGTTATTAATCATTGAAAATGGCCATGTAGGCTTTTTTAATTAAAAAGCCTGAAGCAAAAATTTGCATATTATTTGCAAAATGATATAGAATTTTTTTGTTCAGAGTGATCTAATCTACAAGTATATGACAGCTGTTGTACCTAGAGATAAGTTTCAAGTTCGAAGTTCAAAATTCAATATATCGCTATATTGTATCTGTCGCTCTCACGAAGTTTGTTCCCTGTTGATCTGGGACAAGTATATAATTAATAAAGCAGATTCAGGACGACGACCAAAGAATTTTCAGTTGTAGTTCGTTGGAAGCAGAGAAAACGAAGAAGGAATAAAAAATATGTATATAACATAATCTTGTAACGATTATAAAATAAAAATCGCTTGTATTTCAGATCTAACAAGTCGCTGACTACAAAAAAATGTACGCCTAAACATCAACAGACGGATCTATCGGGTATTCCGAAATATTGCACGCCACCGAGAAAACAACACAATGCCTCACTTGATATGAGCAAAAATCGTCAGCAAAAGACTTCGCAGTATTTGAACAAGAGTTTAACGAGTTATCAACGATGTTCCCCCATTCGTTCGAAAAGTGCCGAAAAACAAGTACGGAGTCCTCTCAAAGACAGCAACAAAATCTTTACTAAAGTAAAACCATTTAAGTTGGTAAGTGCAGTTTTTTCTTCGTATAAATCCATGACAAATTTATAGTCTTAAAATTCATTCACTTCACATTTATATTGTACACAGATCTCTAAACTTAAGGGAAACGCCGCTATCGATTCCGCCGAAAAAGAGAATTACTCGGAGCAGAGCGGTCTGAAAATATGAAGATAGAAACAATCGTGCCGTCGTATATCGATAAAAAAAAACATGTTATAGAAATAGAAATAAAAAAGGGAAAAAGAATCGTTACATAGAAATTGTTGAGGTATATATATATACATGCCTCACAACGATTCTCTCTTCCCTTTGTTATTTTTATTTCTATTGGAAGTTGTGAGGCATATACATATATATTTGTATCCTATATGACGATTTTTTATACAGGCTTTATATTTTTTTTTATATTTATGATTGTGTTTTATAATAAAAAAAATATACGATTGTGGTAAATATGTGTTTTGCTCGATTATTAAGAAATTTTGTAAATCCTATTCGTTCGGTTTGCATTTACAGAGTAAATTCTAACGAATTATCAAACTATGTATGATTATTGAATTAATAAAAAAAGTTGCGATATCTTTTATTGTTAGAACATTAAATTGTAAAAAATAGCGCGTTTCATTTTTCATACAGTACAGTATATATACCCAAATGTTTTTCTTTTGCGATATAATGAAATTAAAAAGCGTCGGCGAATGTAAAATGACGCTTGCGTAAAATTACGCCCTTTCTTTTATATTTTTGGGCCCGCAAGGGCATAGAAGGCCCGGAATGAAAACCTAGGTTAGGTTACATCTCACATCTCCACACGCAACGCCTCGGTCGACTTTTTCATCATTATTCTATAAATAGGAATGAAGCTTCAGTAAAGCGCTAGCGAGAAAAGATCATCACATGCGTACTCTAGTAACTACGTGATATACTAAAATTTAAATATATATAGGATGATATACGCCGCGTTCAGCAGAACGTTTAATTTGCAACTGTTGGAAGTTTCCTGCGCTGACATTGGATTATTCCTATAGATTTAAAAGAATAATCCAATCTCAATTAAGAAAACTTCCAACAGTTGCAAATTAAACGTTTTGCTGAACGTGGTCATAGTTTGGACAGTCGACTGCAATAACATTTCCTACCTTCCCGCTGGATCATCGACCATGGCTCGTATTCTGAATTCTCTTTTATCGATATTTTTAAAATATCTTGAATATGACTTTTCAGCCAGTTAGATGATTTCCGTAAGTCACTTTTAGAGGCATTTTTATCAATAAAAAAGGAGTTCAGAATATGGGCCTAAAGCCCACGTCACACGATGCTTGTTTTTTGATAAATCTAGTGAGATCTAGTCACATACTGGAAATCCTGCGTTCTGATTGGTTAATTTTTAATATGTTACTAGACTCATTGTCTATATTTCTGAATTTACTTTTATCGATAAAGATGCCTCTCAAAATGGAATAGGGACTACCTAATTGGCGGAGAAGCCACATTTAAAGCATTTTTTTGATAAAAGTGAGTTCAGAACATGGATCTAGATAGATTAAAAAAACATTATTCGACGTGGACTTAAATATTACTGAAGACTGACGATTCCAACTGCACATCAAGCGGACTCTGTAGATTTTGCAGATAATAAATATTAATATTATCGGCCGTTTCTGTCTCCTCGATATAAATATCCGGATGCAACAAAATCAAATCAAAAGGTTGGAATTTTCTCTTTCGAAATTCCTACGCAATTAAAAGCAATTTATTGATTATTTATATAAATAACGCAAATTCAATGTATTTTTCAGAAAAAGGCATATGAATTTCGCACTACAAAATTGCTGTTTGGTAACATAACATTACAAAATTAAAAATTGTAATTATACCGGAGAGTTAAACATTTTTTTTCATTTTTGCTACGCAAAAAAAGTACTTACGTATACTTGAGATAACCAAAACCGTAATAATAATACGCGTACTTATTTATATTGTAAAAAATAAAATTAAAAATTGATATCGTGGTAGGTTTTAACTTTCGGCATAACATTCACATTTTCTTCCTTCCAGAAATTTAGCACAATCTCCCAGACAGCACAAATCTCCTAGGGACATCCTCAGGACATCCCGATGTCTTAAGTACGCCCATAAAACGTCCATGGGTTATCCTGTGCTGTTTGGGTTACTATTCATCAGATTGTTATTATTATTATTATTAATCATACGTCATGCGGGATCGGAAGAAACTGATAAGAGGTTTCAATCAGGATAACTATTAATACTGGAACATCAGACAATTATGAGGAAATCGCCAAAGATTATAACTGTATATACGTTTAATTAATACTGTGAAATAAGAATCAACGATTGAGTCGTAGTTTGCACAGCAGGATCGCTCTATACAAGTTACTCGTCCTTCGAATTATGAGTCAAAGCCCTCCTCGGTGTTATCTTTGTTTCCTTTGTTCGCCACTGTGTTATCCCGATTGACTTAGTTTCTTCACTATGTATTGTACATACGACATCAGGAACAGAAACAAAGGGTGCTATACATTATTCCGTTTTATTAATAATAGGTAGGTAGACTGATCCAGCTCTCAAACGCCTCTCAGATGATGAACAACGTATGTCGTAGATCGTTTGTTCGCGTTTTTTTCTTTGTTTCTTTCTCTTCTAGTCAGACGTACATCCTCGACGATCGTCCGTGTGTATGTGTGTATGTGTGTGATCGCCGAGCTCCGCAGACGAAACAGGAAATTCCCTCGCAAGGCAGCTTGTGAACAGTTTCTCTCGGAATTAATATTCGTGTCGCCGATCTCTCTAATTATATTACAATTTCGCCTCCTCGGCTACTTCAGAGGAGGCTGTTCGCGCGCGCACGCGCGACAAATCGTCGTGTCGAATCGTCGCGCTGAGAATTCAGATTAATTGAGCGAGATTAAAGTGGAGCTGAAGTGAAAAAGAATCGATCGAACAAGTAATTCTCTAGGGAAGAAAGAACCAATATCTGCGATTTTTGCCGGGATTCGTTCTGCTTCTTCTCGCGTGTCTCCGCATCCATATGTTACTTTCCTCCTTTTCTTCGCGATTTATACAAAATGGCAAAGAGAAGCGAATACANCTCTCTCTCTCTCTCTCTCTCTCTCTCTCTCTCTCTCTCTCTCTCTCTCTCTCTCTCTCTCCCATTTGGGATTAAAAGGATCCGTCCTATAAGATCTCAAACTTGCGGCAGTTACGTGCAACGTCATCAGGTGCGGATCCTCCCGCCTCTCTCGCGCAGAACGAACGCCCATCGGTCCTCCTCCTTCTTCTTCTCTTCGACTCGATCTTTCTCGACCGACCTTTCTGCGCACGGTCAATTTTGCGACCTCTTTCTTTCTCGGAGGGAGAAAATCACACGCAGCGATTCCTCCATTATCGCACGTCGCAGATCTCGCTCGGTCGCTCCCCC